ACCCACATTATAAAAAAAATCAGATCCCCATCAAAATTAAATGATTACACTTTACCTTTCCCCACCTATTCTATTTCTAATTTTAGTTTGATAGAGAAAACTCTTTACATATAAGGAATTATAAGGGGTGTGTTGCTTGATAATGTCAATGAATGCTCCCAAACACCCTGACTCAAACCCTTAACTAACTTATCCTACCTAACCATAGAAAATTCTGTGCTACTCAATTTCTTTTATGTCTAATTATAGTTATTTTAGCAGAAAATTAATAACTATTATTATTTGATTATGTCAGCCATAGAATACAGTACTGGCCTGATCCGATCCCGGACAACATGTCAATATAGATTTACAACAAAAAACCTTCATTTTGGCTTGGTCATGTAAGGGGATATATCCAAGACGGGTTAATCTTTACTTTTTTAGTAAGTTGTTTCCCTTTATAAGAGGTAATATTTAGTTAACGCCATAATTTGTTTTATTTGTCTATAACTATAACAAAAAGAGTCTTAGTAAATAAATTAAAAGCCAATTTAAATAATATTCCTAATCTTAGTTGTTTATTATTACATTCTTTGAAAACCATATTATATATATATATATATATATATATATATATATATATATATATATATATATATATATATATATATATATATATATATATATATATATATGGATGTGTGTGTGTGTGTGTATCTATATATGTATATATATGTATGTATGTAAATATATATGTATGTGTATATATTTGTATGTATATATATATATATATATGTGTATGTATATGCATGTACATGTATGTATGTGTGTCTGTATGTTTGTGTATGTATGTGTGTGTATGTATAAATATATGTTTATGTATATATATGTATAAATATATGTATATATATGTATATATTTTATATGTGTGTATATATATATATATATATATATATATATATATATATATATATATATATATATATATATATATATATATATATATATATAATCGTTTATGGGAGGCTATGTATTTTAAAAACATTTAAATAAGTACTAAAACTGTTGTTTACTAATTAATTGAGGTTTCAGTGTTAGTTAATGTATTTTAGTTTTCTGGAATATAACTTTGAAAAAGTATTGATGTTAGTTTTGGGTTCATGGCTTGAATTGTTATATTGTTTTGGTAGACTTTTAGGTTAAGGTAAATTAGATACTAATTTTAGAAAGAAATTGGGTTAGTGATTATTAAATCTCGAAATGATTAAATTTAAGTTTGATTAATCAGACTGGTCTATTTCGATGGCTGAGTTTATAATAACATTTAGGATTTGGGTGTGTGGTAATTATACTAGCTGAGTCCCCCTATCTATGATGAGTACGCTATCGTTCCATTAGGGAAACTACAGGCAGCTGAGCATAAAAGTGACTACACTTCGGTGCTAGAGCATCATCGTGTTTTACTTCATTTTTTTATTTAAAATCCAAACAAAGCTACATTGTTTACTAGATCCAATCATTAGTTCTTTTTATCACTATTTTAGGGCATCATGAATAGAATAAATTAATTTGGGTTAGTGTTATGATACTTTATAGATGGATTCAATTATCGACATAGTAGTTAGGGTCAGTTTAAACGGGTAAGATACTCTAGAGCAGTATTTCTTTCATTCTTTCAGACTGATTTTCTCTGGGGGATGCACTTGAAACTTTCAGGAAGGGGGAATGGGGTCAGGCAGACTAAATTCTCAAAGAGGGATGGGGAAGGGGGGGGGGGGGGGAGGGATGGAACAATGTTAAAAGTATATATACATTCTATATAAAATCTATTTTGGTTTTTTTTTTTGGGGGGGGGGGGGGGGAATAGACCTATTTCAGGTAGGGGGAGAGGTATGTGTTATTAAATAAAATTTGGAAATGATTAAAAATAGTCTTGGTTAAGCATACTGCTCCATTAAAGATGTTTTTATGTTAAAAAGTTAAACAAAATTTTGAATGCAATTTTTGGCATTTTTACCAATTCATGTAGTTATTCGAGTTAATCTGTGTAATGGCTTGGGGTAGATTGTAGTTTGTGTTGAATTTAGTGTTCAAGTAGGCCAAACTAACTATTAGTACCATGTTAAAAATAATTTAGTCAGTTCGCTAATGTTAAATTTAAAGTCTATATTGGTTATATATTTAAGAGTCCAAAACACTTTCGATACGATGGGTTAGTATAATCGTTCATTAAATCAAAACAAGAGCGTCCACCACCAACCTGGCACCCCGGGCTCCCCAGTGAGCACTATGATGCCTATGTTTGCTTCAAAGATGGGGTATTATAATTTATAGTTGTTCATTAAAAACTAATCAGGGAGGTCCTTATGTTTGTGTTTTGTTGGTTTTTTGTTTAGGTTTGTGGTGGAAGTTGTGTTGAAAGTTAGTTTATGTCTATATTCATGGGTTAGGTTTAGGGTTATATATATTTGTCGTTATTTGTCAAATGCCGTTATTTGCATATAGACATTCATTAGAGATTTAATATATTCCCAAATCCAAGGCACCCCCTGCATATTTGATACTTAATAAACACATAAGTCACAGTCCTTTACAATTACAGATTAGTTTTTCACAAAAGTCAGTGCAGAGCTTGGCCGAAATGATTAGTTTCTAAAAAAATTATTTTTCTTTACAGATATTGAGTATTCACTTTGTAACATACATACATCTGCAAATTGAGATGTGTTATTAATATTTTAAGATTGTCTAGCAAAAATGTATTGAAGCTTGTTGTTTATTAATGATTTTTAACTCAATCTTGCCATGATTGCATTTGATATTTTTAATTTGGTAAACTTTCAAATAAATATGCTTTATATATATATATATATATATATATATATATATATATATATATATATATATATATATATATATATATATATATATATATATATATATATATATTATAATACTTTTTCAGTTTGGCAGGAACTCTTCTCTTACCGTATTTGGATATTCAAATAAAAATTGATAAAAAATGATATCAAACATGCAAACTGTGAAATGCCAAGTTCAGAATTCTGAAAAAGCAGCCTGTGGCTTAACAAGAATGTCAGAAAGATGTCCTAACCTGTATCTGACTCTGGATATCAAGTTAAATGTAATGAGACTGTCATGTGTTTATTTAGATTTTGTAAATATTTCCTGTTTACCCTTAGGAATGAGTAAACAAATACCTTTACTTAAAGTGTTGTCATTAAGTGGAAACAAGCTAACCTACATTCCTGATGACTTTGGTGATTTTGAAAATTTAGTTGAACTTTGTTTAAGCAGAAACAATATCCAAATGTTACCAGAAACACTTTCAAAGTTAAAAAAACTAGAAATGTTGAAAGTAAATGCCAATGTACTGACAAAGCTTTACAGTGAAATTGGTCAGAATGTAAATTTAATTATTCTGAAAGTTGATGCCAATAAGTTGAAAAGACTTCCAGCTACCCTAGGCCTTTTAAAAAATCTCTGTGTGCTAGAGGCTCAAAATAACAAAATAAATAACATACCCCCTACTATTAAATTCTTAATACATCTTCTTAAAGTGAATTTTAGCTGTAATCATCTGGTTGATGTACCCCAAACGTTCGGTGAACTAAAATATTTAAAACACATAGATTTATCCTATAACAGGCTTAGTTCCTTATGTGAAATATTTAACTCCAGTTCAACATTAGAGTATTTGTGTTTGGATTTTAATAGATTTTCAACTTGTCCAGAGTGGTTTAACTACCTTCAAAATTTATCAATATTGTCAATGACTCACAATAAGTTGAGGAATGCTGCTTTGCCTAATGGGTTTGGTTTATTGAATGCAAAGTTAAATACTTTAGACTTAAGAGGAAATTTCATAACTCATCTTCCTGATACAGTAGGCAAATTACATTGCCTTAAAAAATTATACCTCGGATTAGGAACATCCACTGTTAACACTGTAAGGATTGCTTGTATTTTTGGAAACTGGCTTGAAAAGTTACCAGATAGTTTTATTTCTCTCACTTCCCTCACTGTTTTACATATAAACCAGAACCAGCTAAAAGAAATTCCATCAGAATTTGGAAAACTCATCAATTTGATTGACTTACATCTTGGTATGTAACTCTCCAAACATTCAACTTATTGAACTGTTTCTTAATTTTAAGTTTTAATATAATAGTAGTTCTAATAATATTTTTAAAAATTAATTCATTTTTCTCATCATTTCTAAACAGAAAACTGAATATTTTCAAAATATTTAACATTTATTTCAATGTTTAATCAAAATATTTTTTTTTAAGACTCAAATATGCTTGTCAAATTACCAAAGTCTTTTCCACAACTTGCTTCTTTGAAAAGATGTCATCTTTCAAGCAACAGAATTTCAATTTTGCCACCAGATTTTGGTTTATTAGTTACACTCACTGAATTGTATCTAAATTCAAATAAGGTATGCTCTATCCCTACTTCTTACTTCTACATACACACACTTATATATGTGTGTGTTTATATACATTTGGTTTGAGCAAAATTTTAGGTACGAGTTACCGGATTAGCAGGTATAAAAAAAGTTGCAACTGATTGTGCATTGGAGTTATTTAACAATACCTAACTCATTTCCGAAGCATTCTGAAAGGGAGTTGAACACCCAATCTCCTAGGAGAGGCTTATTTTAACAGCCTACATTGAAAAGTGAGGAAAGCATGGCGAAAAAAAAGGAAAGCCCAGTGAAGAGAAATGCAGTGACAAAAATTAAGTGTGAAAGTAACATTCAGTTTCAATTATATTCAGTGAACTGTAAGTTCCATTTTGTTTATAGGTAAAGTGTAGCGTTAAAATTGTAACGAGTACTAGAATTAAAATTACTGAAAGAGCTTAGCATTGACAGTAAGTGAACCAGTGTTTCTTCCAGACTTTTTCTCCGGGGGGGGGGCACTTGAAATTTTCGGGGGGGGGGGGGGGTAGACTTTCTTCGGGGGGGGGGGGCGGACACTGTTAAAAGTATATATTTTCTATATAAATTATATAAATTTAATTTCGTTCGGGGGGGGAGGGGGGGGGGGGGGTAAAAAATTTTCGGGGGGGGGGGGGGCAAAGCCCCCTCGAAGAGATGCCTGGAAGAAACTCTGAAGTGAACGAAGTGAAACTCCACCACCCTAGGCCTACACATCCACTATCATCTTCCGAAAGCTCTAGTCCGCTGATTTTCAATGCAATTACACTTTATAAAACCAGTTTATTTCTTTGCATTTTCTTTTATTATGCTATTAAACAATATTTATCATGTACAAATACTTTTCTTATTTAGAAAAAAATGTGTAAAAAACAAGTGTTGTGTCATTTTTGGGGGTGAATGGGTTAATGGCTTTTCAATTCATTGCAATTGAGATCAATTTTACATATAAGCAATGTTACAACAAATTAATCTTGTATCTCGAGGTAACACTATGTATATATGTATATGCACATAAAAGGCCTCAGTGTATATATATATATATGTATATACATACATCCATATGTTCATATTTATCTATAATTTTTTTTCAAGTAATTATTTATATATGTACATAATAACTTTTAATTTATATATATGTATAAAGAGAGAGAAACATTTCATTGTATTGGTTGGAACATGGTTATGGATAGGTCTGGTAATGCAATTTTTTTAAACACCTCATAATTTGTAAATTCATTTCTTTAGTTATTTACCCCTATATAATTCTTAAATTTAAAGCTTTAATTTTAATAATTGCTTTCTCTGAATAAATCAATTAGTGCCTTCTGTAAACTTTGCTTTAAAATATTGTAGCTAAATATGGGTACATTTCTTATTTTAATTATTTACTTAGCAAGTGTCATTTACTCATGCAGTGCATTTGGTTTTAATCATTATTTGTATGTGTTCTAAGCTGTAAAATAAATATATTTCCTTTCCAGCTGAAGACATTACCAACTTCTATGAGCAACCTCACCAATTTAGAATGTCTAAACTTGTCTAATAATAAGTTGAAGTGGGTACCCTGGGATATCATCATGACCATGACTAAGCTAAAAGTTTTATCTTTGTTAAATGTTAGTTTTTTTTAAATTATAGTTTTCATTACATTTAAAGCAAAAGCATAATATGCAACAAGGCAAAATTGTTCTTAAGATTAATTTTCTAAAATCATTGCATCACATGTATTTGCCTTTCAGTGTTTCTTTCAAACAAATTTCTTGTGGTGGCGAGGGGGGGGGGGGGGGAGCGGCATTGGCTAAAGTAAATTTTCTATATAATAGCTCATTTAGACAACCTCCACTCTGAAGATATATCTGAAAGAACCCCTGTTGCCATTGCTAGCATGGTCTGTTTTAGTATTAGACATTACCCAATTATGCAATTAAGCCATCAAAAAATTCAATGACTACGACAAAGAACTTTCATAGCCATGAATATATTGAAATATATTATGTACAAACAATTTTTTCCAGAATAAATTTGATGTAGTATACTCAACATGCATTACTCTGAAGGCAATGTGCTACGATGAGTTTGTTTCTTTTCAAAAGGAGAGATTAGATGAAAATGCTATTTATGATAAAGAAATTTTTTTTGAAAGAAACGATACACAGGTAAAAACATCACATAAGAATTCATTTGATTTTCTTTTACACTTGTTGGTTCTCTGTCACTAATTGTGATTACTTGTTGGAAAAATAAATATTGCAGGTATACTTTATCACATGTTATTTCTATTTCAGACTTCATGTTTAAATTATAATACAGATGAAGACTGGGATAAAGAAATTTCTATTTCATGTGAGTTTTTCAAGTAAAATTAAAAATTGTTACTATCTGTTTTTTTTAATAGTATATTTCCAATGACACTGTGGAAAAACTGTACAGAGATTAAATTTACCTCAAATATTTTTACTGCTCACCTCAAGCTTTAAATGCTACTACCTATAAAGTTTTAAAATTATGACACTTGTCAGTATAACTTATATATGCCCTGCAGATGATGTACTTACTATACTAAAAAAATGTAGAACTAAATCAAGTGCCATGTTGTATGTGGGTAACACTTTCATCTCTAATGTTGATTATATCAATAATTACCAATACAGCAAACATTTTACAGGAAGATGTGTGTCAAAAGTCACATGCCAAGAAATCAAAACAGATAATGATATCATTAATGTAGGTTTTAGGGTATACTCAGCACAACTAATTGAATAGTCTATTGTTTTGTTTAAAAAAACATTATTTTAAAATAAAGCCAATAATACGAAAGTAATTATAGTCTGCGATAAGGCTTACATTGTTGTCCCGCAAATGCATCAAATAAGCAGAGACAAATACAATTGTTTTTATTTCTAAAAATGAATAATTTAGGTTAAGTAAATAAGGAATGTCTCTGTGTGAAAATATGTGATCAGTATAAGTGTAAGTTCTCACTTCAGTGATCTGAATGAGGATCTATAGGGTTGAGTTTTAATGTCCATGTGTGTAGGCTAGGTCAAGAGCTTTTGGGTCAATGGCATTACCTTCCCCCCCCCTCACACACAGTCATTTCCCCACTGTTGTTTCCTCCCTGATCAATTCTTCCCATCCTTCTTCATATCCCAATTCATATGTCCCCCACCCTCAAAAGTATAAGGGTGGTTCTTATTTTTATTATTTTATTTATTTTTTAATGGGACTCTCTGGAGGGTTGCAATGGCTAATAAATAAATATATATATATATATATATATATATATATATATATATATATATATATATATATATATATATATATATATATATATATATATATATATATATAATATGGTTTTCAAAGAATGTAATAATAAACAACTAAGATTAGGAATATTATTTAAATTGGCTTTTAATTTATTTACTAAGACTCTTTTTGTTATAGTTATAGACAAATAAAACAAATTATGGCGTTAACTAAATGTGTGTGTGTGTACAAATGTATGTTTTTATGTATGTTTTATCTAAATATTAAATACACGCACATTGCTAAAACAATAAACGTATCAATGTCAAATAATATTTTCGCTTAGGTTGCTAGAAAATATGGATACATTTTAATAACAGTAGGGTCGAAAAAAAGTAATTAATTAAAATATTTAATAATTATGCTAGGGGAGGTAAGTTAAAAATAAATTCGAACCCTCTGGCAGATGAGGCTTGTTAGCCCGGGACAGCCACTCTTCTAGGCGAGATAACTCTAAAAGCAAACAACTGGGTTGGTTCTTGAAGCAAATTCAAAAAGAAAAGCAGGCTAAGCAGTTGACATGTATACTTAATTGTGTTGGGATCCCTTCCACCTCTAAAATTAAGAACGAAGAAGAAGCGAGGGCATTATTGTTGGAATAATATAATTAGCATGGATTGATAAAGTGCAATATGGTAGGTAAAACACGGATGTTTTAAATACTGTCTTTATTTTTTTATACACCCAACGTACTGTTTACTAATTATCATTTCTAATCAGTAGGAGTTTAGAAGCCATTCCTAAATGTCCTCTATGTTTACTTCTATCTTTCGGTTTGCGGACAAGCTGGGGGTTTTATAGTCGTTCGCTAAATTGAATCGGGTGCGTCCGCCGGCGTCCCGCCAAGGTGCGATTTCACGCCCTGGGCTAGACTATGAGCACTATGCGTTTATATTTGCATTTAGGTGTGTGTTCATGTTATGCGTTATTGTTTGCGTTTAGGCTTGTGTTTGTATTGCGTTTGTGTTTACGTTTTCGTTTGTGTTTTATTTTTTGCGTCTGCATTTGTGTGTGCATTGTGTTTGTGTTTGCCTTTGCGTTGTGTTTGCGTGTTGCGTTTGTTTTGTTTGTGTATTTGTTTGTGATTTTTTTTATGCGTTTGTGTTTGCATTGTGTTTGCGTTTTCTTTTGTGTTTGTGTTTGAGTTTCTGTTTACTTTTGTTCTGTACCCAAGTGGGTAAATTAAAAAAAAAATTCCCCATGGAATTGTAAAAAATCCTAGCTTCATTACTGTTTTTGTAAGTATTTTATAGCTTACTTAATTTATTCTAATGTATGAACTTTGTGCTTTTTTAAATATTATTTTTAATTATTTTTTCTACACCATTCTAGGTATTAAAAAAAGTACGATTTTGAAAACAGAAGACTTTCCGAAGCAATTTTTGTATGCTCATGATAACAACGTTGATGGACAGTTTGAATCAGATATTGAATAAATGCCTTAAAAATGATTTTAGTATTAGTTAAAAGTGACAAATAATGGGTATTTTAAATTGTGTACCAAAACATTTTTCTTTGAAAAACATTTGTATTTGCTAATAATTTTTTGGTTTGAATAAAGTTCTTATTGTGGATGTATTGACTTGCTTTTTTTAAACATTTAAATAATTTTATTTGTTTTTCTCAACACACAGATTACTACTTTTAAAATTTAAAAATAGATATTACAGAAAAAGAAATAATAATATCTAAATTTGCACCAGATGAGTGCGCAGAGAGGGAGCAACCTAAAACAAAATATCCTCATAATACAGTAAATACCAACTCTAAACTGTTCGTAAATATATTTCTTACGTCAGTGTTATGTTACGTGAATAGCTTATTTTTTAAATAACTGCAAGTAGCTGTGCATCACGCATAATGACGCGTCTTGATGTCAAATTGTCAGTCCACCTTTAGCATCTGATGTTTACCTAAACTACAGATCTTTCATAGACGTGGTTCGCGGACCACACCGGGTGACACCATGGCAAAAATAGCAAAATAAACAGAAGAAAAATGCCTTTTGCACGTTCAATTATTGATGAGGCTAATTTAGATTTAGGGGTCATCCATAAATGACGTCACGCTTTTTTGGATGATTTTTACCTCCCCCTCCCCTCCGTCACACGTCGTCACAAAAAGCCAGACCCTCTAAAATGACGTCACACCTCAGCAGTCAGCCTACAACCCCCCCCCCCCCCCCCCTCAAAATTGATGTTTAAAACATCGATATTTTTCTAAAATCTTGTCTGAACTCTGTCAAAATAGAGTATTTTAATCATTCCTATTACAATTTATTAAAACAAAAATAACGTCTAAAATTCGTTTTCTAACATTGCTTTTTTATAATGCAAAAGTGTGACGTCGCACCATCGTAACCTCCCCCCTCCCCCTCATCACACACCGTCACAAAATTACGGACCCCCTCCCCCCTACGAGTGTGACGTCATTTATGGACGACCCCTTAATTTTAAAAAATCCAATTGAGGGAATGGGGAGCGTGACACTATGACTTTAACTTTCTAACTATAGAGAAAACCATGTAACATCCGGGAAGTATAAACTTTGTTACTTTTAACTGTGCACACTTTAAAACTACCACACAGGGGCACCAACTGCAAACATTACAGAGGGAAACAAGTTTTAATGAATATTTTCAATAAGTTATAAACGGTAGAGCGCCAGACTGCTAACCTGAAATTCTCGAGTTCGAATCCAGGTTCAAGTCAATAAAAGTCAATCTAGCTTTGATGGGCACCTACCTCAAGTTAGGGAAAATAAAGGTGGCTGGGCATAGTGCTGACCACACTATCCATTTATATGTCACATACACAGGTAAACTCTACTTCACTTGCCGCATAGACCGTCATGTTTGAAAGGGAACTTTACTTTTTTTTAATGAGTCAATCAATGACCGGGGTGGGGGCGAAACCACAACATCTAATATTTTACTATGAAAACAATGCGTTTTTCCACTTGAACTAATATGTGTGCAAAATGGGAAGGGCTGACACCAATTTCGACTATATATAGACCTATGTGAAAGACGTGTGACGTTCTTTATAAAGTTGCGCTCAACCCCTTCTCGCAGCGCCCAAATACGACAAAGGTGTGTAACCAACTGTCAACTTTGTCTTCGTCCACGACTTAGGAATTCATCCACTATACTGTGTACACCTCATTTGGCACTGACATATCCAACTCACAAAAGGGCTACACTCTGACTGCAGGTTCAAGATTACTACAACGCTTTATTTCTTGATGAATAATCACTCCAACAATTAATTCCAAGAATAACGTGAAAAACAACAGACCTCCAATGTCACAAGTCCATTAACTGTATGACTCCGTATCTCAAGTTCTACTGACACTGTTATCTGCCTTCAGTAATTCTCTGGGACGGCTACACTCAATGTACCCTTAATGAGCCCGGTTACAATCCCCAATCGGACACGCTGTCTCTTAGATGCACCTATGGCCACCATGCCTAGGCCAACAACGTGTGTATCCACTATCAGCATTCTTCATCTCCATCATCATATGATCTTTGAACACAACCGTTCTCTACATCTTTCACTGGCCTACTTTGCCCGATCGTTCTCTAAGCCTTTCTGCACCCATACCCAAAAGTATTGCTGCTTTTATACACACCCAGACATTGTGTCTCGCTTTCATACAGACAGATGGCACATCCGGTGAAGTCAAGACGTTCTATCAAGGTCAAACTATTCTATTTCTGTACCGCCAATTTCGGATTATTTTGTATTTTTTGGTCCCTCGGTGTCTATTGCGTTGGTTACAAAACACGTCGTGTTGACAGATCAAATTCTATTTTAGTCAAACCAGTTACATAACAACGTCCTGTTTACGGCACAATTACATGATAGTTTGGTTCGGTTTTTAGTCTGAACCTTGTCGTTGTTGACAGACAACTATTTATTACGTTTTATCAACTGTGGCGTTAATAATTTGCAACTAGTTACATTTATAAATAAATAAATAAATAAATAAAAAATAAAATAAAATAAATAAATAAATATATATATATATATATATATATATATATATATATATATATATATATATATATATATATATATATATATAGAGAGAGAGAGAGAGAGAGAGAGAGAGAGAGAGATAGAGAGAGAGAGATTGAGAGAGAGAGGCGTAGTGGGGGGATACGGACTGCACCGGGTGACACCACTTAGGGGGTGACACCAAGGCAAAAAATAGCAATATATATATACAGAAAAATGATAATTCCACTTAATTAAGTGATTACTTAGAGTGTTAAATAGTCTTTTAAGAACAAATTTGAGAAATCCCGACAAGGGTGTGGGGGGGGGGGTTGTGACACCATGACGTAAACCTTATAATGATAGATAAAACATGCTACATCAAGCTGTATTTATAACCGACTATAGATAAAAATCGTTAGTATTATATCTGAGTACAGTTTAAAGCAATCGGCCCCCCCCCCCCTCAAACTTTCGATTTGCACCCACCCCCCTCATACTTTTTATATATATACCGAGGGGTCTATGGGGGGTTATGACCCCCTCCCCCCTCCAAATACCAACGGATATAGCGACAAAACATTAGCGATACCGCTTTTCTCGATTTTAATTTAATGTATTAAAGTTGGTGACATAATTCCTATAAAACGAAGGAACATGAACAGACGGTATTGATACCGCTAATAGGGTACCTATTTTGTGAGACATTTAGCATAGTCTGCTAAACGGATAAACCTAAAATAAATATGCTAGTTAGAAAGCTTAATAAAAAATAAATAAAGATAATTCCACTAAAAACAGAGTTATTCTCAATGTTAAACTATTTTAAGTAAATTTTTGAAAACTCACCATTTAAACTCAATATGCGATTAACAAAAACAAGTAAAAAGTTGAAATAAAAATTCTACGGCGGTAACGGTCAATAACAGCTGCTGCTTATAAGGAGGGCATCTATAATTGGAATCATAATCGCGCTCTATCGTTTTTAAACGGTTAACATAGCAATGCGAACGACTACATTTGAATTATATTTTTTTTATTCACGAAAGGTTTTGAGCCTGTGACGTCATATTTTATTTACTTGTGCAACTAGCTACTCTAAAGCTTTCCCAGCAGACAAACAGAATAGCGTAACTCTTATTATTTATTATGTTTATCAATGACGTTATTATTATTGTGTATCCTTTCGACTATCAATTATATTTTTATGTACAACTGATTACGTCATTCCTTTGAGTACTTTTCATGATTTTCAACTTTAAAACTTTCGATTCTTCTGACTTAATAAGATTGTTTCTTCTTAGTTTCATGTGACATAATCTTCTCTGCCTGTGGAAGTTTTTAATTTTTGAGTGGTTTTTTTTTACTACGAGCTGACCCGCGAGCATACGCCGCTATCTAGTTGTTTTATTTTCTACTTGTCAACAATTCATAATTTAATTCGACACCACCCCCACCCCATCGTGCCCAGTGAAAGCAGCCGTTTACAGACGACATTGAAAATAACAAGCAGAACTTGTTATCTCCCCTTAGTTTCAAATCGTTTAAAAAACTAAATTATCTGCCCCTAATAGCCGTCACTTATTCGAACCGAACCGGCTCTACTATTGTAAACAGCTCAACTGACAGGTGGGGATGAGGGTGGTGGCTAAGCTGCGTGGTGTCTTCTATGGGCCCCATATATAGATAGATACACGTCTCACATTAAGATACATATAAATACAGAATCAGTTTTATCGTTTATACATTAGGTTCTGTTGAAAGAACCCAATGAAAAAGTGTAATTAAACAAGTTACCCTACCAAGAATGTTCCATCTAAAATAAGCAGCGCTGTTGTGCGGCCGCGCAGTAGTTTTGATCCTGCCGCGCGTTCTTTCTGTAAATAACTTATATCCTTGTATACAACTTTAAGCACAGATTGTACACGTTACACACATACTTTCTCACCTTAGAGGAAACGTTCCCTATCAGGCACACCAGAATCACTGTTACTATATCAAACTCAACATTCACGTACCAGTTGGTAAGTAAGGCACAAATCTACGTTTATTTTACTATTTAGTTAATTAAGTAACGCAGCAATTGAGATCCTTCTTATCTTGCTGTTGTTGAATAGTAAATGTTGATTCATTATAACCATTGACTTTCCTGTTTTTTAGTTCCCTGCGAAAAAAAAGACAAAATTAAATTATTAGGTACGGGTAAAGCTAAGAGTTTATTAAAATTTAACAGCCAATATATTTCAATAGATCCATATGGGAACCCATGTCGGGAGCCAACATATCGGGAGTCCTTTTCTCGGCTGCCTAAATGTTTGGGGCTTATATTCCAGGAGTCAATTTAACCGGAGCCCATTTGTTATGACATCACATGCATATCTTAGAATCCCTTTGAGTGCCTGGAGTTAAAGAATCGCCTTTTTCTAACAACATCTTCGTGTTGCCTTTAAAAATTAAAGAATGCAGAAAAGCAACAATATTTGTAAACTTGTGTGAGTTTGTATGACCCACCGTTATGGAAGCTCTTGATTCTAATTTCTGTATTCATTTTTAGTAACATCGTGCTTCAGCACATTTCTATGATGCCCGTGGCTTAACTTTCTAACACATTTTTTAATTAATTAATTTCCTAAGTTTAACTCGTGGCGCTTTTAAAAAATACCAATTACGTAATAAGGCAAAAAAAAATCTTCAGTGACATATAAAATAAAATATTTTATTGTTTGTTTTTAAAATGATAATAAAAAGAGCTATTTTAAATGAAAACGATGAACACATTTCATACAATTACAATATAATTGGAAAGATATATTTAATTACTATTCAGTGTGGTACTTGAACCTGCCAATGGTAACTCGCCTTACAGCTGTGAAATATTACTTTGAATTTACATTTATTTTACTATGATAAAAAAAACAGTTGTTAATTTTTTTGTGGCGTTATTTTGTGTTGTTTCTCTTCTTCAAAAAGTAAATTTTAAACTTCTATTTTTATCCTTAGCGAAACACTGATATACTGCCAGTATAAAAATAAACATGATTAAATATCTATTTATCTATCCATCCTATCCATCCATACATCCACCCACCCACAAAAAAGACACAAACGCAAACAAACGCAAATTCATAAACGCAAACTGAAAAAGAAAAGAGTCGACTTTAAATGACGCGTGAGGGGTCGGGTCAATGTGGACGTCCTCATGCTTAACACCAAAACACTTATATTTATTATTTTAAAAAAATTATGCATATAAAATGTAGGTTATAAATTAAATCGGCAGTTCTCGTATTAAACATCCCCAGCACAAGGGGTGAATAAATGTATCAGAAATGTAAGTGTATGCCGCCCGCCTAAGAAACAAGTTAATAAAAAGTCTAGTGACAATTTAAGCGCAATTTCCTTATGTTATCCATAACAATTTTAAATCGAGATAAATCATATATTCAGCAACGGTGCCCAAATATTAAAACGTTTGTATCAGTATTTGACTATAATTAAAACCCGCCCTCTTGTTTGTAAACATTAGCACGTGGAAAAAAACGAGCAGCCGATCAAACACTATTTTCTATGAAAGACTCAATGAAATTATCAATGACAGAGTCAATGATAACTACCGCTCTCCTGTATTTTTGGCTGATCCACACAGGAAGTGCTGGTATATCTATTACTTACTCAGTGATCTGATCATTGACAGAAACAGAGATAGCCATTCGCATGGGGTGAAACGAGCGACGCGTAGCTCTCTCTCTCTCTCTCTCTCTTGCCGCGCGCAGTGACGCGAACGATCCCACGTCGCGACAGGCTAGCTTCCCGTATCAGTCGAAAAAAAGGGGGAAAAAAGCCTACACGATGCTCAGTTTAAAAAAGTAGTAATTAATTTTTTGTGGCCGAACGAAAGGATATTTTTGAAAACTTTCTTCGGCAGTATAGTTCTAAATTATGGCAGGAATCGATTGGTAAATGTTTCAAGTCGCTAAGTGGTCTGGTTGCCGAGATATGGGCCAAAAACTGCATTTTTTCGAGGTTTTTTGGCTTTTCCGGGAAATCCAGGAAGGAATTCCGGGAATTATTTTGGCCCACAATCATCCTCGGAACTTGCTTAACATATTTGCTTTTGGAACTAGTCCTCGATATTGCTTCGTTGAGGAGGAGATACGACTTAAAGCTGCGGACACACATCCATCCATCCATCCAGAAATGACGAGTTAATAATCGCAATCCCCCAGTATGGAAATTGCGCTAAAAAAGCGGAGATTTTTAAAAGCGGGAGGGGAGAGGGCAGTACAGCATTAATTTTCTAAAACAATTCATTGAATTTCAATGTTATTTTTAAATATTTCAAACAACAGAAAACAGCATATGTATATAATGTGCTCGATTGGTCAGGTGTGTAGGGTTCACGGTCAAGTCGACCTCAACAAAAGGAAGAGAGGTGGTATGTTACAAGAACACGTGTAGCGAAAAGTTGAGTGAAATATAATGACGTATGTTGTGTGCCGAATTTACCGTAACCCATATAGTCATTAATAGCTAGACAACTACAAATGACACTAAAAATTTCGGTTCGCAGCATCTTCAGTTTAAAAAAAATATTTATGACTAGCTTAATGAAACTTAGTGGGTAAAACAGCCTTAAAAATCATGAGTAGGCCTACACTGCGTCAATGCACGATCACTCTTTCTTAACACCAAAGCCGTATGCAAGTTTTCGGTATATATATATATATATATATATATATATATATATATATATATATATATATCATATCATATAGTGGTTTTCCAGACTTAAAGGGCTACCAATTTACTTTTCTAGAGATTGTCGAGACTTTGCACGAACTCTAACCGCGCCGAATGTAATGAGTAATTATTTGGTGTAAAACGAGAAATAAAGTAAACAGAGGTAGAGGTCATGATCCCAAGGAAGATTCTGCTTATAAATATTATGATTGTTAATATTATAAGGCATCTTAAGAGTTTCAGAAAAATTCTTAAAAATACAAATCAAATGTTTAATATTTTGGAGCTTTTAAGACAAACACTTAACTTTTGTGAATGTCCAGATGTGGTTGGCATTGGGTGCATTTGTGTGTGGTTTAAATCTGAAAACATTGTACATATGAAGATATCGTACATTCTTACCTTCCAATAGCATTAAATGCTAAATCAACATTGAGTCCAGTTTTGGAGCTTGTTTCCATAAAAGGGACACCAAATTCCTAGAATTTATAAGTAAAAATAATTTGTATAATACACATCAATCTTATAATAATACCATTATTTTTTATATGCTGATAAATATTTTAAAACGTGTATTGCATGTTGGAAAAAGCTATTAGCTGGCATGATATTTAGAACCTAAGCCCACTTATTAAATATAAACTCATTAAAAAGTTCAAGTAATAAAAACTAGTCTTTTTCAAAATGGCCACTTTATCTAAACTTTCTTAAGTTTATCACACTTCATTTGAGTTGAACTGGCGAACCCAGTTAGCTACAATATTGTTACAAGGGTCGGCGTGGTCGAGTCGGTAAAGCTCATGGTTGCTAAACCGAAAAGTTTCGAGTTCGAACCCTCGGGCAGATGAGGCTCGTTAGCTGGGGACAGCCACTCTTCTAGGAGAGACAACTCCAAAATTAAAACAACTGCTGCCTTGTAGTTTGTTCTTGGTTGGACAAAGGCTATGGAAGCAAATCCAAAAAGAAAAGCAGGCTGAAATCGGAGTCAATGGCCTCAATGGCGCATAACCAGTTGACACGTAACGCTTAATTGTGTTGGAGGTGTGGTCAAGTCGGCAAAAAAGCTCATGGTTGATAAATTCGAACAAAGTCTCGAGTTCAAACCCGCTGGCAGATAAATCTCGATCCCCTTCAACACTAATAATTAAGAACGAAGAAGAAGAAGTTACATGATCAATATACACAACGTATTACGCATCACATAATGCCAAGAAAATGTCACACAAGCTATAGAATAAATTTCTGTTGTTGCTATAGGGTTAAGATTTTCAAAACATGACCAAGCCACGATTTTTTAAAGAGGTAGAAACAGGTAAACAGTGTATTGTTAGATAACAATAAATATTATGTGTTTGTCAGTAACCATGATTTTTACGTCTTACCTTGTTATATTAGAAAATAACCTTTGAACTTAAGTAAGATGACTTTAGTTTTATATATATATATATATATATATATATATATATATATATATATATATATATATATATATATATATATATATATATATATATATATATATATATATATATATATATATATATATATATATATATATATATATATATATATATATATATATATATATATATATATATATATATATATATATATATATATATATATATATATATATATATATATATATAACAAATATAAAAAACCTTAATAGCAACATGCTTTTAAATGCACTGAAAATAAGAAAATAATCCGAATTTAAAAGCTTTGGTTACTCATGAGATCTTTTACATATTTTAGAGATAAAAGCTTTTAAAAAAGAAAGTAAATTAGTTTTATATTCTTGTTTTCAGTGCTTGTTGCTAAAAAGGTTTTTTTATAATTGTTTTATTTTCTACTAAAAATATTTGCTTTAAAACACCATCAGTAGCTGGCGATATCTAGTTAAAGACGACTATCTGCCCCGTGAAAGCAGCCATCCGTGAGCATATTTTACAGACGACAGCAAGGTCTTAATTTCCTTATTTCCCCATAGTTGCATTTAAAACTTTATTATCTGCCTCTAATAGCCTTCACTAGATCGACCATCTCTACGATTGTAAATATTCTCGTGAACCACAGCTAAACAGACTGTTAGGGTAATTCCGTGGCGTAGCTAGGATTTTTGGGTCACTATGCAAAAACTATCAGTGGGCCCCCTCCGTCAGCCTTTAAGCTACAATAGAGTTAAACTAAAAAATCAACTGCTACTTATGATGGAGGACATAAAGAAATATAAATATTCTGTACATTTTATATTTTATACGTCCTGATTGTGTATTTATACTATATTGGTATGTGGTTTTGTAAAAATGTTACATACTCACAGTTAATTTGTTTTTTTTTAAGTGAACAAACACAGTAGGGTTATAAAGCGGGGGCAGAGGTGCGGTCTGCATCGGATGACAACATTTAGGCGTGACACCATGACAAGAAATTGTAAAATTTATTGTCAAAACTAAGTTGTATCCAGATAAAATATTAAAAGATTATATTTAGATCTGGGTTGGTTTTTTTTTTCATGCTTTTAATTTTGTAAAATGATTAATAAGTTCATTGAGATCTACTTTAGCTGCTTCTATACGAGATTTATAAAGTCCATCATAGACATCAAAATCTCCTTCCCGATCACCGTAGAATGTTAAAGAATGTTTATACTAACTAGCGTACCTGTCCGCGATCTACTCCCACATACCAGGGTAACAAAACAATTTGTAAGGGTTTCATGAACGCGTTACCAAGTGCGTATTTTTAGTCGTGTGACCTTGTTTTCTAAAACTGAGGTAGGTTTAGTTAAAATGTAAACAACGCAACTGCTAATTTTTTTTCGGATCTTTCTGGTGGTGGCGCGGGTTGGTCCACACTACCGCTCAGACGCCCATGGGCGTGCTGTATGAAAGCATTGAGTGTATGTTAATTATTGTCCGTAATAGGTGTCAGTGGCGTAGCGGGAGTGACTGGTTACACTACCGTAAGCAGCCAGGTACAACCTCTGTCCCTAATGTAGAATACTTGTGTGATTGGTGTCATCTGTACGCAGAGGGCTTCGAAAGCCGCCCCTGTTGCAGTTTGACCGTTGAATCAAGTAGTGTCCCTGACCCTGCAAGGCACCCAATCAACGGATCTCGTGCACTCAGGTAGCCGCATGGTAACCGTTACTGCTGTTGATGCGCTGGAGGACACCCATTACTCGATTTAGTAATCAATTTTAGTATCCCGAATTATCCCTAGTGTATAGCGCTCATTAACACGAATATGGCGCCGTAGTGCTCATTGGGGAGACCAGAGTGCACCGGGTTACACGACCGCCGGGTACCGGCTGATGCGCCCGTGCAATTTGAACGCTGAATCAAGTAGTAACGCTGACGCGCTGCGCCGGACACCCAATCAACGGACCCCAGGTGCAAAGATAGCTGCTGGGAAACTCTGGGTGGCAAACTGCACCGCCTTACTGCCTAGGCGCCGCCCTCCGAAATAAAATAAAAATTTAATGGCAGAAACCTTACCAAAAGTTAGAGTATCTTTCATGCACCTTTAAAGGAAAAATGTCAGGGGAAACGAACACTTTCTTTGGAGTATTCTTAACGATTTCCCAAAGTTTCTTGGCGATTGGATGAAAACCAAAAACTTATAGTGTTAGTAGCGCCATAGTGTTTACAGATTAATTTGATAAAAAATTGAAAGTTCATTAAGGTAAAGATATAGTGATATTATTACGGATTGGCCCTATTCGACCCCCCCCCCCCCCACTGAATCCCACTACTTGTAAAGTAAGAAATGACTGGGAGGCTTTGTTCGAACGTTTAATTATTTCTACAGTAGAAAAGAAACTGAATTTTAATTTTATTTTTAAAATTATTTGCATAAAACAAATATTAAAATTCCAACGGAAAAAGTTATACTTTTTTTAAGATGGAAAAGGGCCCCTAAATGGCTTGGGCCCCTATGTCTTGCTTACGCTAGCTTTACGGTAGCTACGCCACTGGGGTGATTGCATCTAGTTATTTAGCTCCCCTTTTTAATTGACCATATTAATCTATCGAGTGATTTAATTTTGTTATCTCCCTTTAGTTTCGAAACCGCTTAATTAATTTGTAATGATTAATTAAACATCTAATTAAATTAAAAATTGATAGAATTGTATTGTCAGCGAAGTGGAAACATCTGAAAAGTTTGAACGAAATCGCTGCATTAGAAGTGGGTTAAAATTGAGTTACAAATTTGCTATCAACCCACAAACAAACAAACAAACAGAAGTTACGAACTAAATAAAAGCTTTTAAGAGATGGATGTATGTCTGTTTGTTGGGTGGGTTTTTTTGTGTGGATTACTACACCATGGCGCTTACAGGTAGAACTGAGCTCTCTTGAAGAGTTACCAAGTCATTATAATTTTAATTATACATTATATAATATATAATATAAGGTATTATAAACAATGAGGGGTAGGGCTACAGGACATTACCCCCCTGGATATTTCCACCCCGGACATTTACCCCCGTATTTACCCCCCGGAGCAATTCCCCCCCCCCCCTGTCAATTCCCCCCCCCCCCCCCCCTCTCAAGTTAAAATCCTAACTCTGACTAGAATGTTATACCTATATATTGCTTTAATCCAAACCGTAAGAAAAAGACCAAAGCCTAAGCATCCACCTTAGCCTAAAACTTCACACAAAACCAAAACCAAAGCTAGACACAACCCTAACCCTAAAACTAGCTCTAACCCTAACCCTAGCCCTAAAACCTAACCCTAACCCTAAAACCTAACCCTAGCCCTAAAACCCAACCCTAACCCTAAACCTAGCCCTAACCCTGTCCAGGGGGGGGGTAATGTCCTACTGGGCGGGGGGTAATTGACAGGGGGTAATTGACAGGGGGGTAATTACTCTGGGGGGTAATGTCGGGGGGGGAAATATCCGGGGGGTAATTGACAAGGGGGGAAATGCCCTGTTCCCGAGGGATAGATAGATAGATAGATAGATAGATAGATAGATAGATAGATAGATAGATAGATAGACAGACAGACAGACAGATAGATAGATAGATAGATAGATAGATAGATAGATAGATAGATAGATAGATAGATAGATAGATAGATAGATAGATAGATAGATAGATAGATAGATAGATAGATAGATAGATAGATAGATAGATAGATAGATAGATAGATAGATAGATAGATAGATAGATAGATAGATAGATAGATAGATAAATAGGTATTAACCTTGGACAATCTTTCTCCATCTTCTTTCCTTACTTGTCGATCAGCAGTTGCATCACACTTGTTACCAAGTAACATAATAACAACACCATCTTGGCTATAGTCATTTATTTCCCCTAGCCATGCCTAGTTTAAGGGAAATAGTTTTTGATAGTACAGTAAGAATAACTGACTAAAAGAAAGACAAATTACATAAGAAACATTTTCGTAAATAACTGAGTCATTTATGGTGAACTCTTGCTGCTTTCCTTATTTGTTCTCATTTTTATGAAGTTTTTGTTTTACTATACCTCATATTGATCTTGCCTTAAAAGGTGGAAGATGCCTCATTAAATTCAATAAGACTGTCAATCCTCTGAGTTATTACAACCTTTAACTACCAAAAAAAAAACCCTCATCTTTTAAGAACTTGAATCTACCTCCTATTGATGCTGCAAACTTACTCGAACATTGTCAAAGCTTGTCTTGTTTGTGATGTCATATAGAAGTAGAAGTGCTGAACATGAAATAAAAATTTAAAAGAACCAGCAATCAAACTGAACATATTGACTAAACGTTGAAACTCATGCCTATAATAAGAATTTCTTTTCTTACTCAGATATTTGTTTTATCACTCCAAAAAAAAAACAACCTTTTATTAGACAGACTAAATAGAAGTAGGCATGTCAAATTGTTTGTTTTTTTAAACGGTCTCACGGTATTTGTGAAAGTTGGTATGTTAAGGACACAAAATAGTGGATGTGAAAGTTGCTTACATATCTCAAGTGGTAACATAACATTTTAACATTTTTGGTTTTTAACTTTTTTCGAAAATTGAAATGTTTGAGGAATTATATCTATAAATGTATATGATACAAACTCAATCTTTTGAACCCAACACAAACACACGAACACAGACGGCTAACCGATTTTTTTTCAAATCTAAAAAATAAGTACATCATTAAATTAATTGCATTTAAATTAGTTTTTCCCTTTTATATGAAATGAAAAGGGAAGTAAAAAAAAACGCACCTTGTGCATATTTTTAAAAATCGCCAAAACATTTCTCATAAAACAGCATACATGATAGTTATAAAAATTGTAGGGGAACAACGGTTCTTTAAATTTAAGAAAAATGTTTGCCTATAACATGTACACTTGAAACACACGTTTAATCAGAATTAGAGGGTTAATAATCTGTCAAAAAATCGTCTTTTAAAAATAATTACAATAAATAAATTATGACAACAACAGTACATGTGATTAGATCTATATGGAAATACAGAATAACCATAGCTCTGAACAGTTAGTCTTTTTGTCACATTACTTAGTTATATACAATCCAATCGTGGCTGGACCATTGCAAGGGTCATAATTATACATACTTTTTTGTCGAAATAGCTATTAATAGCTAGAACCAGTGGCGAATTTATAAGAAAATGTATTTAGAATATATTAACATGTGTACTTATATATTAAAAAGTCAAATATGTATTTATACATAGTTGGTTCTACACAGGGGCGGATTAAGCTTGAGCGGGGCCACTGATTTAAAAAGTTTTGGGGGCCCTTATATAATTATAAATGTGTGTGTGTGTGTGCGTGTGTGTGTGTGAAATGAAAAACAATAAGTAAACAAACGCTAGTGAAAATATGCTAGTATTACAAGATAAGAAAAAAAAAGTCAAGTGATGGGGATTTATCAAAATATTTTTACACGCTTAGCGTTTGTATTGGGTAGCTCTATCATTATTATCTAGGCCACTGAAGCTTGGATATACGCATAAACATGCGAAAAATAAACTAATGTAAATTGATCAGGAATTGAAGAAAGGACTAGATCTATTTTGCACATGCAATTAAATGAGACGAAAAACGACTTTTAGAAAAGCTCTTCTACAAAATATAAAAGAAAGCAAAGAATATCTCAAACCACTCTACGCGGAACAATCATGAATATGTACTCGATATTTAAATACTAGCGCCATATCGCGTTGACTAACAAAAGCTCAATTAGTCTAGTGACGCGGCGTCTAATCGTTTAGGTAGATCTAGGAGTGTTTAAAATTGTTTAATGAAAATAAAATTGTTAGTATTAGGCATAAATGTCGAAACATACAGAAGAATAATATTCAATTACAACTTCTGTTACTTGAGGAGTATAAATTAAGGATAAATGTGTTACAACTCTGATATTACCAAAAGTACTTTTAAAATCGTGCTCGATTTTAACTTCTCTTTTAAAAATCGTAGCAAAACGGAAATTCTATTCAGATAACAAAATTTGAAAACATCTCTCCATACCTTTTTAAACTAGGCCTACTGTTGTAAACATGTTATAGTTATAGTGCTGCTTGTCAAGATGCAATGGAATACACAATATGATTATAATAATAATGGCACTTTATATTATTTCAATATCTGTGATCAGTCCACTATATATTTGCACATCTGACAAAGTAAGCTAGCCTTATGTAATATAGAATCAACTTACTGGATTATTTTATAGGCTAAGCAAGACCAATCAGAAACACTTTTATTATTTTAGGGTGAGCTCACGTTAAATAAACATTGTTTGACATGAAGCGATGACAGTTAGAGTTTGCACTGTAGAGCGTGGGCGTTGATGTTCGACTAAGGGACAAGCGTATATGTTCATGAGAGAAAAACAAATCTCATACTTTCGTATGATCAGCCAAATTGTGTGCTAGAAATAAAATGTATAATATTTTAGGGAATATTGCAACATTTTCCGGGCAGAAAGCGACGACAGCTGATAACTGGCGGGGCGTTTTGAAGTTTTTTCTCATGGGGAACAACTCATATTTTTGTGGCCTTTGTTTGGTAAAAAAAAAAAGCTTGTCATTTTAACTTTAACACTATAAACACGGTCAGGAATTTTTCCTTTGATTGCAAATTTTAGCCTATAATGTTGATTTTCTGAATGCTTTCGAGTGAGAACTAATTCACAGTGTAGACCCCATATGGTATTATTTTATATTTTTATTACCACCGCATAACGCGATCTGATGCGATCTGGAAACCAACAATTAAGCAGTAAATTTGGGGGACCCTAAAATTTGGGGCCCCTTACTGCAGCCCTCTTAACCCCCCACTTATTCCGCTACTGGTTCTACAGTTATCGCGATATATTAGGGCTACACTAAAATTCACTTGCTTATTTATATATATAGCTAGGTAGGCTAAATAGATAACCATGCTACTTTTTTTTTCTAGTTTTACATTATTATATTATTCTTTGTTCTAAAAATAAATTGGATAACCGTTGTTTTCTACAAAGTAAAATTTGATATCAAACTCCATATAAGGGCATGGGCGTAAAAATAATAAATGGGAAGAGATTCATTGATACGCTTGACCAATCGAGTAGGCTACAGTAAATCAAAATAATTCACGATAGGTTGCAACTAAGCACGTGGGCTAGGTAGCCATCTTGCTTCTAGATAAACAAAACAATCGCCTGTCTTAGTTTGTTTCATTTTTTTTTTGCATACAAATACTCTTTTATTTGTTGTTTTAAAATTATACAACAACATTTAAGTTAATATTTGAAAGTTTGCCAAGTAATGTACTGTTGATTGTCATTGGAACACTGCTAAAAAGTGTTTAGTACGTTTTATACTAAGCTGAAAAAGTGCGTTACTGAAATGTCTGTCAGTTTTAAGAATATACCAAGTCCATCCCCTTCTTCCCCTTCTCGCTATTCAACCAACGGCCAATTTATAATCTTGTTACATCATGCTGTGATAGGCTGAATTAAAGTGAAAAGACCGGCAAACAAACAGAACTTAATCTGGTTTGTTGATAGTTGTTCTAAGAATAACAATCGATTAATAGGATATGTAATACTTAATAGTCATTAATTCATTACCTGTTGTATACATATTTTCTGCTTACATAGAAAAATCTGTCTAAAACTTATAACACATGTCAACACGTATTTTATTAGTCAAATGGCGCTTACACAAATAACAAGAGGTCTTTTTCTGTTTTCTATAAGAGGAAACGCACTAGTGCCTTTCTCCATCCTTCTGTTCACGTTTTCTCTTCTTTGCATTTTTACTCAAAATTCAACATTCAAATCGCTAAGGCCTTGGAACCCTTGTCATATAAGACAGAAACTTTCCACATACATTTAGCATTATACTATTTACAATACTACTTTTGTATATTAAGTTTCATGCTATACTTTTCCTATTTATTTAGCACCACCTACTATTTTTTGTACTTATTTGTACGTAAAAATTTGTATTAAAAATTGAATACGAGCTATCGCAATGAATAAACGTAGAAACATATAGTTTGGTTTGAGAAATCTAAATGTGTCATCAGATTTTTACAATATCTCGATTTTACGAACTATTTTTCCTAAATGTAGTCAGCATATGTTTCAGGCAGTCATCAAATATTTTTTTATTAAAGAACTATTTGATGTCGTTTGTGTATGTGCAGCTATTAATGAATATATGGGTTGGGGTAAAATTCATCTAATCAACGTGACGTTATATTATTGTAACAGAACCTTACTGTCACTTCTCGCTAAACTTGTTTCCATAACAAACCACCTTTCCATCTTTTTCCGTCAGCCCTACACACCTGACCACTCGAGCACTTTCTAGGTACACCGTTATTTAAATTTATAATTTTAACGTGCCTATTTTGAGTTTATTATTTGACAAAAATATCTAGATATACATCGTCTTAGGTTTTGACACAAAATAATGTTGTAGCCTACAACGATTTGGTAGCACGATCTATCAGGGAGGTCTAGATCTATTTTTTTTTAAACTTATGTTTCCAATCTTTGAAAATTTTAAAGATGAACTTTGAAATAACGTGAACTGTTTTAGAAAATTGCCGCTGTCAATGCCCCCCCCCCCTTTCGCGCTTGTAAAAAAAATTCTCTTTTTTTTTGTCGGTATACAGTTACATCTTTGATACATTTATTCACCCATTGAGCTGTTGTACGTTTTTAAACACGAGAACAACCGATTGATATGCCATATGCCGTGTTTTTTTAAATTAATTTTTTTTTAATTTTAATTTTTTTTAGGTGTAAATATTTTAATGTAAAATCCCACATGAGGACGTCAACATTGACCCGAATTTCCCCCCCCCCCCCCTCCAGTCCACACGTGTCCGCAAAAGTCGATTGTAAAAAACAGAAGAAAAAAAAAACGCGCATATCCCCTTAAAGTGAAGGGAATAGACTATAGATAAGATTTTTAATCAAACGGTTCCGCTGGCGCCCCGACAGGGTGGGATTTTGCGCCCCGGGATAGACATGCGTTTATGTTTGCACTTAAGGTTGAGTTTATGTTATGCGTTATTGTTTGCGTTTAGGTTAGTGTTTGTGTTTTCGTTTTTTTTTGTTTTGCGTTTGCGTTTTTATTGTGTTTGTGTTTTCTTTTGTGTTTGTGATTATGTTTGCGTTGTGTTTGTCTTGTTTTCTTCTGTGTTTGTTATAAGTTTTTCGCATTTCGTCTCCCCCCCCCCCCCCCATCTCCATTCTAGGTGCGTGTTAGAAGAGCCATTTTGTTAAAGTTGAAATTATCACAAAATATATTGAATTTAAGAACACACTAACACATACGGTCGTAGATTTTATAGTAATTTAAATTATTTCGAAATCTTCGCTAAAAACAAAACCATACATGAACTTGGCGAATTTTTCTACTCTAAACTCTACCTATAGGCTTGTAGACCTACCGATAACAGTGTCGACAAAAATTATGATCACGTGATCTTTCACATTTACTAGATAAAAGTATTTTACAATTCTAAAAATATTATAAAAATGAAATTTAATTGATTATATAAGTACCTTCGTTCAGAAAAGAAAAACATTTGAACTAAAAAACAACTAACCAAATTAAAAAAAAAAAAATAGACCACTACAAAGTGAAGGGCTTTAGCTTACGGGACAAAGCTGAGAAATGACATGTAAGTATAATCATTGAACGGTAATATAGCTTTAATAATATATACTAAAGAAATAAACAATACAAACTTGACTGACAAACGTGTATTATGTAACTACACATTTTTATTTCTTTTACTTTTACTAAACTATTAAGCTTGTAAAACCTGCCAACGTCTATATAGAAAAGCTTGGTGGCGTGTTGTTAACGAAGATAGCTGCCATTTTCTTTGACCGGCCCCTGGATTTACTATTAGTGATCGCTTTGTAAAGCTCGGCCTTTTTACGCCATGCATAGAAATTATATTCAATTTTCGTGTTTTAACAGAAAAAAAGGAAGGAGGGTCAAACTGAAAATGCCAATACAACTTTTATACGGTGTCAAAATCACTTAGATCAAGTAATTGCCGATTGTTTCGTATTTTGTTTGGGTTTTTTTTTTTTGTTCTTTTTTTTTACGTTTAAAATATTTAATCTTTTATGCAATATTTTTGTTTAGTATCCCAATAAGGATTATTCAATTCTGAAAATTTTTCAGTTATTTGTTAAGAAATACTCCAAATGACCCAAAAAGGCCGGGGAGTTGAATCTGGATTGGGTAAAAATCCGTTGCGAAACTGTCGTTGAAAAATCTATTCGGTGATAGTTTTCAATCGATAAATGAGATATAGATCCATTGTGTAATATCAACATATAATTATTCATGATTAAAGGGCTTAAAATTTACTTTTACTTTTTTATTACTTTACGAGCCTTTTAATTATAGATAATATGGGCGATGCGGGCGAAAACCGCATTTTCCCTGACCGTTTGACATACCAAATATAAGTAATTATTTTCTTAATATATATTTTATTAAAGCCTGTTAATTTATTAAATCAAGAAAATCAGATTAAACTGCCTTAACAATAGCAACTAAAATTGACTCAAAAATAATAAACAGCTTTTTAAATATTTTTTAGGCTGGTAACTGTTTTCATTATAAATATAGTAAAATTATAGATTTCAATTATGAGTAACTATGAATAGTACTAACGTAACTTAAATTATTACAGCAGTTAACATATATTTTCTAAAAACGGTTAACTGTAGTAGAATATAATTTAGGTAATTGATATAAGAAGTAAAAAAAATACAAATACATGAGTAGTCCGGCTATTTGACAGCAAAAAACAGCCCAATAAAACTGAATCGATGAAAAACTTTCTGTTTTCAAAGAACTTAGTGTTAAATGTTGCATACTTTAACATACTAACTCATATTAAATATAATTTGAAAAAATAAATTTAAGAAAAACAACCAAACAAATTTACACTTCTTTTCCCGTTGGATTATATTTTTATCAAATACGGTTAAGTTTGATAATGCAATCATTATATAGTATTTTAAGTAACACTCAATGACCCTCACTGTATCTCGTGAGTATACACCCATTTCCATTTTAATGGTTTAAAATGTGTTTTTTTAATATCAGAAATACATGCACCAGTTCATAAAATAGTCCAGTTAGTATAAATAGCAGTTAATGTGTTTTGTTCAATGAAGATACAAACCATTTGCATCTCGATAGTATGCTCGAGTAATGCTTCTAAATCTTTCTTGTCCAGCAGTATCCCAAATCTAAAATAAAATGTTCGGTTTAATTGAAAACTCATAATAAAATTATATTTATTATTTAGCACATATTATTATCAAAATAACCATGTTAACAATACGGAAGAATTATTTTATGTCTGATTTACAGGTGACTAATCTGACTAATCACAATATCCCTACATATGCCGAGGACAAAGAAATAGGTGGACTTCAGTTTCCCCATGGGCCGTCAAGTTCGAAAGGGTAATTTTGGAATCGGATTAAATCACAGAACCAGTATGATTTATCTGATTTATCATATAACAAGTCTAACATTAGCAATAAGATTGCTCAAGTAACCTAATATTTTCAATGTCTAAGAGATCATTCTGATTTTTACTTTCTCGTATATACGCAGTATAGAGAAAGTCTTGTAATCGTGCAAAAAAAAATCGAGATTTTTACAAATCTCGACGTTTTACATCTCACTGATACGGAAAAACATAATTTTGCAATCTTGTCCGTATGTCTGTGTGTGTGTCTGTGTGTGTGTGTGTGTAAACACGATAACTTGAGTACCGTTACAGCTAGGTTGATGAAATTTTATATATAAGTATTTTATCAAAATCGTAGATCCGTATCAACTTTTGAGCGATTTCCGATAACCGGAAGTGGTACTTTTTCTACTTTGAATTTTTCAAAAGCCTATAACTTGAGTACTATTTCAGATAGATAAATGAAATTTCACATGTAAGTAAAAGATCTAATTTTCTTCGTTCTGTCAAATTTTGAGTAATTTCCATTGACGGGAAGTACTAATTTACGCTATTTCCGATTTCTCAAAAACGCATCTAAATTTATAAAGTACTAATAATATTGCGCACCATTATGAACATCTTTATTCGGCGTTCGCTTGGTGCGCAATACTTTTTTCTATGAGATTCTATTTTATTTTAAAAAGTTTAAGTATTTAAAATGGATTAAAAATCATAACTATATCCCGAGTTCCCATCCCCTGTTGTTTTATATAAGAATATTCGAGAAAGTTTAGGGGAGATCACTCCCGGTTTATTTAAATGTACAATTCACAACCATTTAATGTTAAAGTAATCTTAAATTCTATGCAAACTGTTACATGAACGTATTTTAAATTATAATAAAAATTATAAGATTGATTACAAATCAACTCCACCATGGGGCTTCTACTTCTATTAATTAAAAATGGGGATTTTTCTAAAAAATCAATTATAAATCATACCATATATACATTAACAAAAAATAGTTCATTTAAATAATGAGCATGTTAAATGATTTTTAAAAAAGAATAAACACAATACAATCCTGAAGATAAAAATACTTTGAATTTAGACAAGAATAAGAGAATATAAAAAAACAAGAACATGTCAGACAATAAATAGATTAATTAGATATGAAGTAGAACTAAATTTTAAAATCCTATAGTATAATCATTAGGGAGTTACTTCAAATATATTTGAAAATATTTTTAGTGTCAACAATTATAAGTAAAATAGTTTTTATCCCGTAGAATTAACATTTTTGTATAGAGTCCTTGCAAACACGTGACCTAAATCACGTGATACCTAGGTCCGCCGCCACGTTGGTGAACACCGCCAGTAAACAATCAGCTGTAGCGCAGCGATGAGCGTGTCTATACATGTGTTCATTATAATTGTGTTAAGAGTCTCGCACCAGCAGAACAGGAATAATACGTAAAAAAACTTAAACATTTGGGAGTTGAAGATCCTTATTTTCTTGTTGACATAAAATGCAGTAATAGATTATTTAAATCTGGATTAGTTAGTATAAATTCTAAATTCTCTAGTTAAGTACAAACGTGAGACAAGTTAACCCCTACAAAAGCCCCAATAAAATTGCTAATCTACTTTTGAGGTAACAGCCATTGCTGTTCTTAGATGTCAGCCAATCTGAGTAGCATGTTATGTAATTTATGGTCCAGCAGGGAAGTATACAGACACATGTTGATGCTTCCCCCTCAAAATGTCTTACCTACATGATACCCAGCCCCACCTGTTTCTAGCCCACCATAAAACTTCATCACTTTGTAGGTAACATGGATTGCTGTTCTTAGATCTCAGCCCAGCAGAGATGGTATTTTATGTAATTTATGACCATCATGGTCCAGAAGGGTGGAGACCAAAGAGGAATCAGTACCACTACCCTCCCTCAAAATCTCTCACTTCCATTATACTTGGTACCCAGCCCCCGTGTGTTTCTAACCCATCATAAAACTTCATTATTTTGTAGGTAACATGGATTGCTGTAAATTGTAAGTAATTTATATTAAAGCCTTCCACAACAAAAACGTCAACTACTTGCTAGTATAAACATTTAAAATTTAATCTAAGTAGCAGATTCTAGATCTAAGTCGAGTCATACAATCTATTTTAATAGCAGATAATTTCGTTTGCTAAATAAAGTGATTAGAATCTTGACCTAGATTCTAGATCTTAGAGATAATAATAATAAATATTATCAGGGCCTAATTTTTAAATTTATTATTGGTGTATTTTGAAAGTAATATAGATCTAAATTTTGTAATTAAATTTATTTAAATGAGTAGATTTTTTATTCTATGTCTACTTAGCGGAGCCAATCACCAGATTTAATTTCATTTACAACATGATTACATTTAGAGCTACATTTTAAATCTAAATATTAACTAAATATTCCAATTACATTTTATTACTACTTTTGACTTTGGTCTATTGCTATTAGTAAATGTGAAGGCCGAGCATATTTGTTTTATTAAAAGATGTCTTTTGTTAATTAAAATGAAGTTTAATGTTTACAGTTCCGACCAAAAACAAAGTGTCGAGAACATATTCGCATTTTCTTTCATACCTCTTCGATAAATATTGGCTTAAAATTTACAGCGTCTACGTTCTGTTGACGGCCGATCTCTATCACCTCGGCTTAATATAACCCTTGTCAGTCGAAATAAAGGAATTCCTTTAGATCTGTCACTTAGAGTATCACAACCTTTCGCAGCACAGATTGCCATTTTGAATGTGGACCTGTACACCGCGAAGGTGAAGTATACATAATGAACGATCCGTCTCGTCATATGCAAGGACTTTTCAGATAATTTGAGTCAGAGGCCATCATTATTTTTGTTATTGATATTAAGCTTTAAGATTTTCTTTTACTTCACAGGCAGATTATCTAACAGTACAACCACGTTGTACAGTTTTTTTCCAAACATGGCAACTTCCTCTCCCACCCCACTCATTCGTCTTTTGATATTGTTTTTTTTTTCTTTGAAGTTTCGGTTTTTAAAATGTAATGTTCCCTTAGCACGGCCAAAAAAAAAAAACGTATTACATTATCAATTCATGACAATATTCCAATTTCCTTTCGACAACCAGCGAACTGCAGTATAGAAAAAAAGAAACTCGTGATCAGAATCCGTTTTTCTGTGCAGTGTTCTTTCAACAGAATGGGTCGGCGTGGTTGGATGATAAAGCGTACGATTAGGAACACAAAAGTCATGATTTAGGATCCAGAGTTGAATGCAGGTGACGTTTCTGAGTTCACCCTCGTGAAGGAAAGTAAAAGCACTGGGCATAATGTTGACCACCTTTATTTACCGAGGTCATAGAAACATTTAGTGTTAGAAATGATCCCAACATAATTAGGTAATACTATTACGTATCAACTTGTTATGAGCCATATATGCTACTGAATCCGTTTTGTAAAGGATATGTATCCAACTCTAAGCGACTTTTTGTGTTTCTAAGGGTTAGTAAAGTCATGAATGAGAACAATAAGGGGTTTGGCTTCTCTATTCAATTGCTATTCAATTTTGCAAAAACGATTTCATTGTTTCCTGTTTATGTTTGGCGACCCCTTAGAAAATACCTCGTGACCCTTAATGCACTACATTTTGGGAACCAGTGTCTTAGCGAAGTATGTGTTTTGATTTATAATTACATAATATTTATTCCCGACTTTCTATTGCTGACAAGGCAATAATCCTTACCTGCAGTTTCACTTTGGCACCATCTATTTCAACTATTTTGTTCTGAAACAAATGTTTGAAAACTTAACTTAGTTAAATCAACTATAAAATTAATAAAAGTTAATTTATATGAAAATCTTATAAATATAAGTTACTATCAGAACTGCTGGTTAGGGCACTTTCTAGTGCTGCTGGCGCTTCGAAAAAAAACCCTGAATAAACCATCGACCATAAAGATTACGACGGGTGGGTGAAACCTGACTGCGCATGACCAGTACCTTCTCGACGCCGTGAAAGTAAAAGGCACCTTAAATGGACCTTAATATAAACTAGATCTACAAATTTTAAACAACATTCAAAACCCAATGATAATTCATGAGGTCTTAGAACAAAACCTGAGGTATAAAATATGGCGTTACCTTAAGGAAAACCCCGAAAATACGGTATAACTGACCTGGGACTGTATTTTCCGATATAAACATAGTAATATTTTGTGACAAAAATACAGCAGGCAAATTAAAGTTAGCACCAGCACAGAGAGTTCTAATAGAACACAAGGAAAAATATCGGTCTATAATTTCAAATAGTAAGTGATAATTGACCGTTAGGGACAATATCTTTCTATAAGACGATACCATTTTTGTATAAGTCATCGACAACACTCAAGAAATTGTAGACAGCTACCCCAAAATATTAACCAAATAAAAGCAGTGTCAGTAGTATATTAGGTCCCTTTTGGGTATTATGGGTGAGCAGGAGCAGGATGCGGATGCGGAATAAAGGATATATAGGAAAATACTCACCCAGCCTGGCGCAATGACATATAGCAAAATACTCACCCACCAGGCGCAGCCTGCCGCAGCCCGGCGCAATAACATATAGTAAAATACTCCCTGGGGGAGGTGGAGGTACATCGACATATAGTAAAATACTCACCCACCTGGGTGAGGGTGGGTGAGCAGGTGGCGCAGCCTGGCGCAATAACATATAGTGAAATACTCACCCACCCTAGGGTGGGGGATGCGGATGCGGAGTAGGTCAGTAGGTCACCACCGGTGACCTTGTGACGTAATCAGTGACCTAATTACGTTATTTTAATGAGATTTTAATTAGTTGAATTTAATTTTTAAATTTTAATTAATTTTTATTAACGAGTTACGTAATTTGATTATTTGATTGATTATTTTTTAATTTTAATTTATTATTTGATTTTGACTTTTTAAATTTTTAAATTTTAAATTTTAAATTTTAAATTTATTTTGTAATTTTTTAAATTATTTTTGTTTTTTATTTTTAAATTTTTCTTTTAATTGTTGTTCGTATTTTGTTTGTTTATTTTTAATTTTTTAAATTTTTAAATTTTAATTTTAATTTATTTTGTTTTGTATTTTTTATTAACTAGTTACGTAATTTAATTTTAATTTTTAAAATTTTTAAAATTTTTTTAAATTTTTAAATTTTAAATTTGTAATTTTTTTTAACTAGTTACGTAATTTGATTATTTGTTTGATTTAAATTGTTTAATTTGTTTGTTTACTTGTTGTTTATTTGTTTGAAATTCATTTTAATTAGTTTGATTTTAATTTTTATATTCTCCAACACAACGCTAACGTATACTTTGTGCCCCGACTTCCATTAGCCACAGCTGTTACTCATTAGCGACAGCTGTTACTTATCGATCTACTAGTGAGGTTTTCTCAGCGCTGTCCGTTTTTTAATGGGAATGTATTGATCGACTCGCCTCGACCCCGTGTAGCCATTAACCAACAGGCGACAGCTGTGCATCAGTTGTGCAACAGCTGGTACCACACTTTCCACTAACAGTTAAACGTACAGTGTCATGGGTTTTTAAGTTTCTGGTACGAGTATGTTAAACGTATACACACACACACAATCACAGAAACTCACTTTCTTACTTTTATATTAAAAGACAAGTATGTGTTATTGTTTTGTTACTTGTACCTGTAAATTATGTAACTCGGTATCCTATATAAGATTTTTGACTGGAAGCAAAATCAACCATTTAAAACGATGGATCCGAGATGGAAACATCCCTTTACCGCTCTGATCGCGGGGCCAACTGGGAGTGGTAAAACAGTATTTGTCAAAACTTTTTTATCCCAGGTGTCAGAGATGATGGATCCTGCACCGGAGGAAATTTATTACTGTTACGGGGAGTGGCAGCCTTTGTTTGATACCACGAAGAACGTTCAGTTTGTGGAAGGTCTTCCTGACTTACAAAATGGATCAATGGGGGATGGAAAACGTCGACGTCTAGTCGTCATCGATGATTTGATGGCGGAAACAGATGAGCGAATTACAAAATTGTTTACGAAAGGGAGTCACCATCGTAATGTTAGTGTCATGTATATTGTCCAAAACCTATTCGGGAAAAATAAAGAACAAAGAACCATCAGTCTCAATTCGCATTACATCGTATTGTTCAAGAACCCTAGAGACGGTTCACCAATTATAAATTTAGCAAAACAAATGTACCCCGGTCGTGTTTCGTATGTCCAGGATAGCTTTAAGGACGCAACATCGGCCCCTCATGGTTATTTGTTGATCGGCCTTCGACAGGAAACACCGGATAATCTGAGATTACGCAGTAGTATATTTTCTTACGAGCAGCAAGTTGTTTACGTCCCGAAATAAAAGCAACCATGTCTGAGTCGGTAAAACGACAAAGCGAGATGTTAAGGTTTTTGGCTCGGGCCAAACCACCCGCCGTGAAAGCCGTTGTCGAAAATGCTTCGCCACAACTCGTAAAAACGTTATGCGAGTGCTGTCACAATGTCTTAAAAGGCAACGTTCCACTCACGCCGGGTCAGAAGAGGCGTTTGCGTCGTCACAAAGTGAACTTGAGACAACTTACCAAAAAGAAATTGACCGTCAAAAGACGAAAGCAAATTTTGCAGACCGGCGGTTTCCTAGGTGCTTTACTCGGACCAGTCCTCGGTGTGCTTAAAGGTGTCTTGGGATTTTAAAGATGGCCAGGAAAATGCTTTTAATGGATCCTCGTATATTAGAGTCTATGCAACAAAAAACCTATGTACCACCCGACACACTCAACGATAGTCTACGCCTTTTGGATATGCAAATGGAACATATCTTAAATAGGGAAGATTTGTCACCACACGACAAAGTGAGACAATATCAAAAGACACTACAGCTCTACACGACGCGACTTAGCGATTATAGAAACAAGTCCCTAGGATTAGTCGAGGTGAAACCACCCACCGTGAATACCCCAACGACCGAGGTTGAAAAACCACTAGAAAACATAACGGAACCTAAAAAAGAAACGATAGACATAACATAATCTGAAACTTAAACGAAATCCGGCTCGCCTGACTCTAATATTCGCCCCTCGAAGAAAAAGAAGACACACGTAGAAAAAAACACCACCCTCGATACGTACCAGAAGTAAGAAAACTAAAACAAGCACTACCAAATGGGACGCGTGGGAAAAAATCAAACACTAAAAAGACATTACTATGATCCTAGTAGACCAGGTGCCTACGGCGGCGTGTTTAAGCACCCTGAAATTGGAACTATGAAAATTAAAGAATACCTAAATTAAAGAATACCTACACGTTACATAAACCTCTTCGGCGACGCTTTCAAAGGCGCGCCACCATCACCGGTGGGATAAATCACCAGTTTCAAGCGGATCTCATAGATATGCGCATGTTACGAAAGCACAATGGTGGTGCTTCTTACCTAGTGACCTGCATCGATGTGTTTAGCAAATTCGCCTGGGCGATTCCGATAAAGAAAAAAACGGGTAAGGCTCTAGTGGAGGCCGTACGTAAAATATTTACTACTAGAAAACCTATAAATTTTCAAACAGACAAAGGTAGTGAATTTGTCAACAAGACATTTTTAAAATTTCTTAACGACGCAGGCGTTCATTTCTTTACCACTGAGAATGAAGATATTAAGGCGGCTATAGTTGAGAGATTCAATCGAACATTAAAAGAAAAAATGTGGCGGTACTTTACAAAAACAAATCGTCTTCGTTACATTGATGCCGTAGACGACTTGATCACCAACTATAACCACTCGTACCATAGGAGTATTCGTATGGCCCCTGTGAATGTTAATTTGACTAATCAAGAAAGGGTCTGGAATACTTTATACGAGCCAGGGGACAATACTTATCGAAAAGTATTTAACGAAGGTGATCGTGTACGGATCGCCCAAAGCCGAAATACGTTTAAAAAGGGTTATACCCCTTCGTGGACGGAAGAACTGTTTACGGTGAGCCGAGTTAACACAACAACGCCCGTAACGTACGTCTTGAAAGATGATTCAGGTGAAGAAGTGAAAGGTTCGTTTTACAAAGAGGAGCTTCAGAAAGTAGGGGACAAAAAAGTGTATCGCATCGAACAAATTATACAAGAAAGAAAGGGTGTCGGTGGTAAAGAGTATTTAGTCAAGTGGTTTGGTTATAACCCTTCATTCAACAGTTGGATTTCAGCTAGAGACATTTCGAAATATAAAGACTAACGATGGAGGAAACAGTAAAAAGCCTAAATCTGGATGAGCCCGTGGTGGAAGAAACGCTCAGACCGTTCGGTGGGATCGAGGTGAGACCTAGATCCACCACGTCTTCTATCGGTTCGACCATTTCGAGTTGGTTCGGTAGACTAAGGACACGCCCGGAAATCGTTTTCATCTCTCAAATGTTGGTTATATTTGTCGTCATTGCTTTTTCACTATTTAATCTGACGCGTGGCACGGTCGACGACAAAGAGGGAAAACTTTGGGTCGTGTTGTTATCCAGCTGTCTCGGCTATATTTTACCTAACCCAACCATTGCAAGGACCAACATTTTACAATGAGTTTTTATGTGACCCTGCCTAGCAATACATCACCAAATGTATTTCCAGACAATGAGGCTGGGCATTTTTTCGTTAAATTACCACAGACTATCGATGTGAGTTTACACTACGCAGTTGGTCTGGCCGAGATTCAAATGCCGAACGCGTTTTGTATGCTTAGAGAACATCAAATTTGGCTCCAGTATCATTCCAGTACAGAAGGTGAAGACGTTAACCTTTTTCTACAGGGATTACGACAGACCAAATATAATTACATAGACTCGCTTGTTAACGCTATAAAAAAACTAGTAAAAAGAGAGGTAGATGAAGGAAAAGTGGAAGTTATAACTTCAAACTGTAACAAGGGATTTAAGAAAGTTGTCGTAAAAGTAATTGCGGCGGGAATAGAAAGTACCGTCCGTGACAGGTTGACAGGCTATTTGCATGTTCCTGATAGAGTTAGAGAGAAACATCTCGCTGAAGACGAAGTAAAAACAGTATTCGTCTATTGTGACCTCGTAAAAACGAGACCGGTTGGTGATGTCATGGTCCCTTTGCTTCAAACCGTACCGATCGTTGAGAAGAAACCAAGTTCCGTTTTTCGTATTTACGACAAACTCCACTACATCCCCCTGAACCGATTTTCATTCGACACTGTGGAAATACTTTTATGCGAAGATTTGGGACAAACGCTCTCATTCACAAGTGGAACGTCCGTGTTGACACTCCATTTTAGAACACGTAAACATTTCGATCTGGAATAACTCACACCATGGTGAAACACACACTTTTACACCGAAACCCTAAATTGTACGAAGATTTTTACTGTAACCAGTACGGTGATGGTTTGCCCGTTTTTATCGGTGGACGAAACCAGAGAGGACACGGTATTGGTAGTTTCTTTAGTGGTCTAGGTCGAATGGTCCTCCCTTGGATAAAGACGGGAGGTAAGGCTTTACTCAGAGAAGGTGTTAGTACTGGGTTACAAGTTGCAAACGACGCATTAGCGGGAAGAGACGTTGGAGAATCGTTCAAAGAACACGCCAAGGAAGCTGGACATCGTTTATTGCAAAGCGCTGTTGATCACCTGGGACAAAACCAATCAGGAAGCGGGTTGAGAAGAAAGCGTGGGCTCTCGAGACCACCCGGTGAACCCTTCGAACAAGAGATAAAACTACCACGCAGACCAAGCCACAAACATTCGAAGGCGTGTGCTAAGAAGAAGCATCCCAAGTATTCAGATATATTTGCTTAACCATGGCTCTTATTCACCCGAGTTCATGTGAGTGCTTACATTCTAGATTGGATTTATTTAGTACACCCCCGACACAAACTGCCGTCGAGGAGGGTCAATTTGTTGAAATACATCCCCTGGCATCCTTGGCACAAGGTGCACCTATAGAATTTGCAATTTCTGGCAACAGTGAAGACTATCTCGATTTGTTTAATACTTATTTACACGTGCGCGCTAAAGTGACCTTAGCGAATGGTGATTCAATACCACCTGACGTTGATGTCGCACCCGTCAATTATTTTTTGCACAGTTTATTTTCACAAGTGGATATTTCTCTAAACGATATGCTAATTACTGCTAGTGAGAACACCTATCCGTATCGCGCCTATCTGGAGGCTACGTTAAATCACGGGGAAGAGGCCAAGAATGGGTCTCTATCGGCCGCTCTTTATGCGAGGGACTTAGCCTGTTATTTCGAGGAATTCAAAGATGACAATAATGAAGGGTATAGGATTCGCCGCACCACCGCTGCTGAAAGTCATGAGATCGATATGATGGGACGTATACACTCTGATATTTTCGCTCAATATCGGTATATGCTGAATGGTGTTGACATTAAAATTAAACTTACACCCGCAAAAGACAGTTTCACTCTCTTGACAGCAGAACCAAACAAGGTATATAAAGCGGTTATAACGTACGCAACATTGGTGGTTAGAAAAGCCAGACTTAACCCCGCCATTTCTATCGCACATGAAAAGGCTTTAACGACAACAAATGCAAAATACCCTTTTAAACGCGTTGTAATAAAAACCTTTGCTATATCGAAAGGTATGTTAAGTCACAACCAAGACAATTTGTATATGAGTCAAACACCCACCGGTTTAGTGATCGGTCTAGTCACCTCTACCGCCTTTAATGGCAGTTACACGAAAAACCCCTTCAATTTTCAACATTTTCACTTGACGTATTTAAATGTAGGCGTTGATGGTCGCTCGTTATCGGGAAAAACCACTGGTCATGGACTTTGATAAGAAACAAGCCATTAGAGCGTTTTTCAATAGTAACCTCTCTCTCTTGGTATGGTTGGAAAAGATGTTGGGAATGGGATAGATTATAAAAACTTTAAGAACGGGTATACCCTGTTTGCTTTTGATTTAAGCCCTAGTCTTTTGGATGGAGAACAATTTGAATTGGCTAAATCCGGACCTGTTTCTATTGAACTTAAATTTTCACAAGTTACAGCTGACCCGATTCAAGTTATTGTGTATGCTGAACTTGATTCGGTGTTAGAAATTTCGAAAACGAGGCAAGTGCTTATAAAAGATTATTTCAAAATGTCAAATGAAGATTGGATACTTGTGGCCAGAGGTAACAATAAAGTGACTGAAATACGAACGATGAATCACATCGGATTTAAATTGGCGATTGTTAGCCAATTCATGAGCAAAAACACTTTAAATCTTAGAGAGCTTATGGATGGGACCGATCTTAATTTTCCTACAAATTCTGGTGTTAGTATGAGTCGCGTCTGCTTTGAGCGCCTATTAAGTTTACAGGATGAAATTTTAAAAGCCTTTGATGAATAGGAAAAACGTTAATAAACAAATAAAATATAAGAAGAGTTTTGTTCTAATTTAGTGTGTGTGTGTGTGTGTGTGTGTGTGTGTGTGTGTGTGTATACGTTTAACATACTCGTACCAGAAACTTAAAAACCCATGACACTGTACGTTTAACTGTTAGTGGAAAGTGTGGTACCAGCTGTTGCACAACTGATGCAAAGCTGTCGCCTTTTGGTTAATGGCTACACGGGGTCGAGGCGAGTCGATCAATACATTCCCATTAAAAAACGGGCAGCGCTGAGAAAACCTCACTAGTAGATCGATAAGTAACAGCTGTCGCTAATGAGTAACAGCTGTGGCTAATGGAAGTCGGGGCACAAAGTATACGTTAGCGTTGTGTTGGAGAATATAAAAATTAAAATCAAACTAATTAAAATGAATTTCAAACAAATAAACAACAAGTAAACAAACAAATTAAACAATTTAAATCAAACAAATAATCAAATTACGTAACTAGTTAATAAAAATTACAAATTTAAAAAATTTTAAAAATTTTAAAAATTAAAATCAAATTACGTAACTAGTTAATAAAAAATACAAAACAAAATAAATTAAAATTAAAATTTAAAAATTTAAAAAATTAAAAATAAACAAACAAAATACAAACAACAATTAAAAAATAAAATTTAAAAATAAAAAAATAATAATAATTTAAAAAATTACAAAATAAATTTAAAATTTAAAATTTAAAAATTTAAAAAGTTAAAATCAAATAATAAATTAAAATTAAAAAATAATCAATCAAATAATCAAATTACGTAACTCGTTAATAAAAAATAAATTAAAATTTAAAAATTAAATTCAACTAATTAAAATCTCATTAAAATTACGTAACTAGGTCACTGATTACGTCACAAGGTCACCGGTGGTGAACTACTGACCTACTCCGCATCCGCATCCCCCACCCTAGGGTGGGTGAGTATTTTACTATATGTTATTGCGCCAGGCTGCGCCTGGTGGGTGAGTATTTTGCTATATGTCATTGCGCCAGGCTGGGTGAGTATTTTCCTATATATCCTTTGTTCCGCATCCGCATCCTGCTCCTGCTCACCCATAATACCCAAAAGGGACCTAATATACTACTAGTGTCGTGTTCCAGAAAAATAATACGGAGATCAAAAGTTACAAAAGAACATGTTTCTCCTCATAAGCATTTGATTCTTTTTTTAAATATTGAAATGTAAGTTAAACGGCACTTCTAGCTGAGGTGTGCGTAGGCACTGATCTTTAAAAGATTCATTATCAAAATAATGCTTTTTTTTTAAATTAGTTAGCCGCAGAGGCGTAGCGGGGGGGGGGGGGGCGGACCGCACCGGGTGACACCACTTAGGGGGCGGCACCGGGTGACACCACTTAGGGGGCGACACCAAGGCAAAAAATAGCAATATATATATACAGAAAAATGGTAATTCCACTTAATTAAGTGATTAATTAAAGTGTTAAATAGTCTTTTAAAAGCAAATTTGACAAATCCCGACAAGGGTAGAGGGGGGGGGGGGTGTGACACCAGGACGTTAACCTGCTAATGATAGAGAAAACATGCTACACCAAGCTGTATTTATAAACCGACTATAGATAAAAACCGTTAGTATTCTATCTGAGCATAGTTTAAGGTAATCACCGTGGGGGGGGGGGGGGGGTGGAGTGGGATGCTACATTAACTCAACGTTGCAAAATATGCCTGAGGTAATTAGAGTTGGGTGGGCTCAGGGTCCCAAGACTTGCAGATGAGCAGTTACGTACTCTACTGTTCAACCATGCTGTCCCCTAGTATAGGCGTTACCCAAAAACAAATTTAACTCTACATTGAACAGATTTTTAAAAAAAAATACCCGAAAGTCAATTCCAACCGTTGAGATAAAACTTCCGGATAAGAATGTTCCATCTTTAAACCGCACCAGCAAACATGTTTTCCCTACACCACTGTCACCGACTAGCATCACCTAAAGATTTTAGCAGAGATTATAGCTTCTTCTTATGGCTTAAATAGCGATGCTAATTTTTCACTGTCTTATAATAAATAGCTTTGCTTATTATATCTCACCACTTTGGTTAACTTAGAATGTTTTTAGATCTAGAATCAAATTCATTCGTTTAACTTTTGTGTTAGACTTAAGACCATGTAACTTCTTTGACATTAAAGTAAAAAAGAGAAGTTATAAAGTATGGTAATACAATAATTATATATATTTAATTAATTAAGAGGAGGAAAATGTAAATATTACAATGAGTGTATGTATTTAGTATAAAAGTTAAAGGCGATAATACATTTTTATAAAGCTTAATTGAAAGAATCAAAACATTGGGCAAAATAATTTACATGTCATTGTCCCTCCAGACACTACAGGTTATTTATTGTTTTTAATTTTCACCTTTTATTATTACAAATAAAAACAGTAAGGCAATTAAGTTTGAAAAGATCAAAGAATATTATGAATTATAGATTAAATTATTTCAAAATTAAGAAGCAATACCATCATATATTTGCACAATGATTTCAGTCCAGGAGCAATATTACATTAGCAGATTTATGCTGGCATACAACTAATATACTTGCTAACCCAATGATATGTTTTTGTAAAAATGTAATGTGTTATGTAGAATTTTGAATAATTTAGAATTAACTTACATGTTAAATGTATTTCTCCCAGTTTTGTGTTTTCTTGAGTACTGATGAAATTTTTATTTTTAAATTTTATATTGTAATCATCACTGCCCGTTGTCTCTGCTGAGGTAAGATCCACCCGCCAGTAGCGTAGCGAGGGGGGGGGAGGGGACATATGTCCCCGGGCGCCGACCTTAGGGGGCGCCAAAATGGATTGGAAAAATAAATTGAAAGGTTGAGGGGGGGTGCAAATCGAAAGTTTTGAGGGGGGGGGGGGGTGCAAATGGAAATCTCGAGGGGGGGGGGGGTGCAAATCGAAAAGTTTGTCCCCGGGCGCCGGGAAGGGTCGCTACGCCTCTGCCACCCGCTAAAGGTTTTCAAAATCCTCTGTCCTGTGTCATTTTCTCAACCTGACCCCAAGTGTAACCCATCTTTGTAGTTATAGATTCAAGCTTGCGTCACATGGCTTTTACTTTCTCGTATACGAAGTATAGAGAAAGCATTGTAATCGTGCAAAAAAACAACAACGAGATTTTTACAAATCTCAACGTTTTACACCTCCCTGAGTCGGAAAAACATAGTTTTGCCATTGTGTCCTTATGTCTGTGTGTATGTATGTGTGTCTGTGACTATAACTTGAGTACTGTTTCTGATAGATAAATGGAATATAACACATAAGTAAAAGATCTAATTCACTGCCTTCTGTCAAATTTTGAGTAATTTCCGTTGACCAAAAGTAGTAATTTATGCAATTTCCGATTTCCCAAAAAAAAAAAAAACGAAAATGAATTTATAAAGTACTATTACTCCGCAGTATTATACAAATATTGATTGCCATTCACACGGTGCGCAGTTCTATTATTCTAGAACTAGGTCTAGATTATCTAGATTTACGACAAACTAGACTTAGACAGATCTAGACCCTACCTACATCTAGAATCTATTCCAATAATAAATTTCTATACTAAACTATTTCAGAACTTAATTATTTTATTGAAATTTTTGTTTGTTTAGATGTGCAATTGGCTAATTTGTGATAAAATTTAATTTGAAAGAATAGGGCTTATTCGCGTAAGTTAAGTTTCTTAAGTACCTCTTTTATTCTCTATAAAAATTATAGTGTATAAATAGCTGACTTGATAGTGTATTTGATACCATGAGGGAGGTACGGGTTCGAGACACACTAAGTCAATCTTAAATTTTTTTTTCAATTTTTTTTTATATGTGCATAATAAATTTACCTATCGGGAATTGGCGGGACAAGGGGCAAGTAAAGTAGAGTGCACCTGTTGCTGAAGGGATAGTGTGGTAAGACAAAAACAACATAACTACCATTGAGCAGCCGGGTTTTTAACGAAATCTTTTAAGTCTCTTAATCAGCGAGTGCATTTAATATGGCATTGCAAATCTCGACGTTTTAGTTTTAGGGCTCCCTGAGTCGGAAAAACATAGTTTTGCAATCTTGTCCGTATGTCTGTGTGTGTGTGTATGTGTGTCTGTGTGTGTGTAAACACAATAATTTGAGTACCGTTACAGCTAGGTTGATGAAATTTCATATATAAGTATTATATCAAAATCGTAGATCCGTATCAACTTTTGAGCGATTTCCGATAACCGGAAGTGGAACTTTTTCTACTTTGAATTTTTTTAAAAGCCTCTAACTTGAGTACTATTTCAGATAGATAAATGAAATTTCACATGTAAATAAAAGTTCTAATTCTCTGCCTTCTATCAAATTTTGAGTGATTTCCGTCGGTAATTTACGCTGTTTCCGATTTGTCAAAAAAAAAAACTCATGTAAATTTATAAAGTACTAATAATATCCCGCACTATTATGCACATTTTATTTGGCGTTCACTTGGTGTGCATTTCTTTTTTTTTTTTACGATATTCTATTCTATTGTAAAAAGTGTAAGTAATTAAAAATGGATTAAAAATATTGTCTATGTCCCGAGTTGCCATCCCCCGTAGTGTTATATTAGAATATTCGAGAAAGTTTAGGGGAGATCGTTCCCGGTTTATTTTCATAATCTTTAGAATGTTTCATTCTAATGCTTTTGATCAATAAAATGTTTCTTTTTCTGAGTTTCCGATAATGAATTTTTTAAAAGCTGAATTACAATTCACTTGATTACTCACTTTCTGTAAGTATATACATTTTCTTCAGGCATCTCAACCGTTTCTTCCCCTTTCACCTCCGAACGAACCCACACACCCTCCCCCGGACAGTTTAAAATGCCGCTACCCGGAGATAAATATCTAATAGAGAAACCGGGTAGCCTTTTCTAAAGAGAAGAGAGCTAAAAGTCACCAGAATAGCCTGTGTAACGGGTACCGATGGCTAGTAATGGCAAGAAAGGGAGATGAAGTGTAAGGAAATAGAAATGGGAAGAGAGTGGTTTCTTTGGAATAGTGGAGCCATCAGACCATTGTTGAACGGGAATTTAGGTAGTGTATTAATTTGGAAAACTGAATGCAATATTAACAATCAACTATTTGAACGAAATACCTTAAGAATCTTACATTTATAAGTTTTTGTGGCGTTCATGTGGAAGAAATTAGAAAGGCGAAATAAATTGACTGTTGTGGGTCCGTGTGAACAGAGTAGAAGGGGTCAAAAATATAATTTTTTGTGGGCGTCATAAAATAACAGGTAAGTTGTTAACAGTTAGAGTGATGACTGGGGGAGGGAGAATAGTTTGTGTTGTTTTCCAAAGGGAAACTGAATCTTCTAGTAATCTAGTTCTTTTTAAAAGTTACTGTCGACATTGCCTTTAATAGTGTTTTGGGAGTTGTTTTTTTAAATATTACCCCCAATGACGGAAATTAGTGCCTTGTAAAACTATAGTTTTAGCCACATATGGCCCTGATTAGAGTGTAGTCTTTTCATAACCAGCAGGCAAACTCATTGTTGTTACTAAACTAAAACAATATTTAACAAGTGTTATTACCTTGCAAGAGAGATCATAAGCTTCAGTGAAAGAAGGCGTATGCTGTGATAGATGAGGGGTAACTTTGTTTGTTTCGAGTGGAATCTTCATCTTTTATTTTAAATCTTTAATAATGCATTACAGGCTCATTTTCTTGACGTTAAGGACTGTAAAGTTAAAAAGACAATTCTGAATTCTTAAAATTACAGACATTTGGAAAGTGCAAAATTAATAAATGCTTAACTAAAATTCAAGTAGGACTAGTCCATTATAAAACAAATATAAAAAAAAAACTTTCTAGTAGCAAGCTTGTAATTGCACTGAAAATAAGAAAATAAAACTAATTTGCTTTCTTTCACAAAAGCTTTGTTTACTCGTGAGATTTGTACATATTTAAGCAACCAGAGCTTTTATGAAAGCGAGCAGATTAGTTTTATTTTCTTATTTTCAGTGCATTTAAAAGCTTGCTACTAGAAAGGTTTTTTTAAATATATATTTTTTTTAATTGTTTTATTTTCTACTTTTTAGTAATTCATAATATATATCTACCAGAGCTGCAACTAAAAATATTTGCTTTAAAACACTATCAGTGAAAGATGATTATCACCTCCCCCCCCCCCCCCCCCCCCCGCCGCCGCCCGCGAAAGCAGCAATCTGTGACGACAGTTTACTGACGACAGCTACAGATCAAGTTGATCATGAGCAAGATGAATAAGGTGCAACTATAAAGTCCAAAAAATAGTTTAAAGTTGCACAATGTTCATCTTGCTCATGCTGTCCAAAAAAATAGTTCGCTAATACTAAAGTTTTCAGAAAGAAAAATATATTCATCTGACAATATCTTTAGATCATAACAATTCACATCATAACGATTCCTACATTTGCCATAAAATACAGCTACAATCTTGTGTTAGGGTTACACTTTCTCTAATGTTAATAAAAAATATCTATCTATATTTATAAAAAGCAATGTATGTGTGTGTTTGTCTGTCCTTATGGCATGCATTATTACACCTTTCATCCGATCGCCATGAAGCTTTGGCAAGTTGTTGAGAATACTCCTGGGGAGATTTCTGCGAAAATAAATAATCAAATTCGCAGGGGTGGCGCCCCGGCAGGGCGTGATTCGATTCATCTGTATAAACGGTTTTTAAAAATTAAAAGTCGATTGCGGTTTGACATTGTTTATTCGATAACCATGAAACTAAAAAAAATTTCTGCGAAAAAAAAATTCGTATTGACGGCGCCCTGGAGGGTGCGATTACTGTCAAGGTTTGGCACCCAGAGTTCTAGAGCAGGTATCATAACACTTGGTATCCGTTAATTGGGCTTCTTGCATAGTGGGAAAGGTGTACTACAATATGCAGTAAAATTGCAAATGACGCAGCCACCAGCGTCCCGGTGATTGCGTGTCCCGAAGCGCCCTGGGCTCCCATCTGTGCAGTTTGGCGCTACGTTGGTTCAAAAAAATCTTACATACTAAAAACACGATGGGAAACAATAATCATTGGCTATATCGAATCAGGCGCATCTTCTGGCGCCCCGACAGGGAAGGGATTTGGCGCCCCGGGCTTTCCTATGGGCGCTATGGCTAATAAGTCCGTTTTAAATAGTGCGATAGAGTATATTATAGAGTATTAAAGAGTACGAGCCGACCCGCGGCGTAGCATACGCCGCTATTTAGTTGTTTTATTTTCTACTTTTCAGTAATTCATAATTTGTGAATTCGACACTACCAATGCTGCCACTGAAAATATTTGCTACGAGCCGACCCGCTGCGTATCATACGCCGCTATTTAGTTGTTTTTAGCGCAATTTCCATTCTGGAGAATTGCGTTTATTAACCCGTCATTTCTGGATGGATGGATGGATGGATGAATGTATGGATGTGTGTCCGCAGCTTTAAGTCGTATCTCCTCCTCAACGAAGCAATATCGATGACTAGTTACAAAAACAATTATGTTAAGCAAGTTACGAGGATGAACATAGGCCATAAAAATTCCGGGTTTCTTTCATGGATTTCCCGGAAAAGCCAAAAAAACTCGAAAAAATTCAGTTTTTGGCCCATATCTCGGCAACCAGACCAGTTAGCGACTTGAAACATGTACCAATCGATTCCTGCCATAATTTAGAACAATATTGCCGAAGAAAGTTTTCAAAAATATCCTTTCGTTTGGTCACAAACATTTTTTTGAATTAATTAAAATTTGGACCGAATTAGTAGGCATTTTATGCAACCACACCACACGCGTCATCACGTTCAATAGCTGCGCCATCACGTTCAATGGCTGCGACATCACGTTCGGTAGCTAGGCGCGCAATGGTTTTTAGTCATGTTACTCTATTGTAAATAAAACATGTAAAATACTGAAAAAAAAATTTAATAAAAAACGTTTTAATAACTAACCAATGGTTTTACTAACCCTGCTCTTGATTTACGCTACGACAGAGCTATTTTTAGATAACATAAGGAAATTGCGCTAAAATTGTCACTAGACTTTTTTTAATTACTTGTTTGTTCTACTTTTCAGTAATTTATAATTTGTGAATTCGACAGTACCAATGATGCCATTGAAAATATTTGCTTAAAAACACTACCCCCCCCCCCCCCCCCACGTGAAAGCAGCCTCCTCTTAGTTACCTCCTCTAAGTTTAAAATCGTTTCAAACTAAATTATCTGCCCCTAATAGCCGCCACCAAACCCGTCTCTGTGATTGTAAAATGTAAACAGAGTGAACACCGCTCACCAGATCATGTGGGGGTGGGGTGGGGGTGGTAGTGATAGTGATAGAGAGGAAGAGAGGGGACTGCAAAGGCGCGCTTGCAGCTTGTTTTCTAACTGATCCCAGAAGAGAATTATATATATATAGATAAAACACTATCAGTAGCTCGTTAAGGTGTGTGTGGGGTTGTGTAGGGCGGTAGTGTAGACAAAACCGTGCCCCGGCAAATACGATCCAAGAAATATAGCGCAGGTATTGTTTACATTTAAATAACTTTGTGTTAGAAAACAAGGTCACACGTCTAAGAATATAGGATTGGTAACGCCATGATGAAACCTTCTTAATGTATTGTGTCAGAGATCCTTTGCAAACTGTGGCAACGGGCGGGAACGGGCTAGTATAATATAAATAGCAACTCAGTTTTACATTGGCAAACAGGAAGTCGCCTGCACTGTCAGCTGCATCATAAAACAGATACAAATCTTCCACCAAGTCCACACACATATTATTAATAGAGGCGCAACAATTTTGCACCCACCTTTAATCAATGTGAATATATATATACACATAAATACAGTGATACATCAACAAATGAGTGCCCCAACTTAAGAGATTTTATAGTTATTATGAGTTGATCTAGAGATTTTTTTGCATTGAGTTTCGAGCAATATCTGAACACCCGTGCTCCGCCAGGGTGAAGCTCCGCCAGGGTGAAGCTTTTTTTTAAATGTACCAACTTGGGAATAGAGCAAAACTAAATACAAACTCAATAGAAAAAACAAACGCAACGCAACAAAAACTCCAACAGAACGCAAAGACAAATGCAAAAACAAAAACGCAAACACAAATGCAACCACTAATGCAGAGGAAATCGAAAAAAAAAACCAAAACGAAAACACAAACACAAATGCAACCATAAAAACACACACACACACAACGCAAAGGCAAGCACAAACACAACACAAAGGCAAAAGCAAACACAATCACACAAACGCATACACAATGCAAATGCAAACCAAACCACAATTACGCATAATGTAAACACAATATTAAAGCATAGTGCTCGCAGCCTAGCCCCTGGCTTTAACGAAAGTATGCACCATAGCGCTCACAGGATAGCCCATAGTGCCAAAACGAACCCTGCCGTGGCGCCGGCGGACGCGTCTGATTCAATTTAGTGAACGACTATAATACTACCAGCTTTTCCGCAGTAAACAGAGGAAATTTAGGATCGGCTTCTAAACGGTTATTGATTTAAAATACTAATTAGTATCTTTTAGGGTATAAAATAAATAAAAGGCAGGATCTATAATATAAGCGGGCTGTGTCTGTCCTTCCTTCCTTCCGTCCGTCATCGCTATAGATTTTGGAACCATAAAAGTAGACATCGCACCATGTAGTGCTTTGCAGTGCATCGCATTGTCTTATTATAAGTATTAGAGTAGGGTTTGTTTATATAACGACATAGAGCTATTTTATAATTTCCACTGTTTGTACAATTTTGCATAATGTCAAGAGAATATTAAATACACGCACATTGCTAAAACATATTAAAAGGATCAATGTCGAATATCGTTTTCGTTAATATTCCTAGAAAAAGTTAATACATTTTAATAACATAATAACTGTAGGTTAGAAAAATCTAATTAAACTGTTTAGTAATTTTGCCAAGGGAGTTATTTTAAAAATAAATTGAACTCACGCTAAAAATGTGAATGCAGAATCTGCAAGACGGAATAATTGTTGGAATAATATAATTAGCAAAATGTGAATGCAAATTATGCAGACGTGTAAGAGTACATTATTGTTGGAATATTATAATTAGCTTTGATTGATAAAAGGCTATCTTTTATTTATTTTATTCACTGAATGTAATGTTTACTACTTATAATTTTTAATCAACTATTCAGCACTATTATAGACGCGTCATCACGTTCATTGGGTGCGCAATGGTTTTAGTTATGAAACTCTATTGTAAATTTTTAAAATTTAAAGTACTGGGGAAAAAAATGCGTGAATTGATAAAGTGATATAATATGGTAGGTAAAACACGGATATTTTAAATACTGCTGGGGGTTTTATAGGAGAGGCGTAGAGAGGGGGGGGGGACATATGTCGCCGGTTGCCGACCTAAGGAGGTGCCAAAGTGGGTTGGAAAACATTTGCGGGGGAGGGGGGGGTGGTGGAAATCGAAAGTTTGAGGGCGGTGGGAGGGTGCAAATTGAAAGTTTGAGGGCGGTGGGAGGGTGCAAATCGAAAGTTTGAGGACGGTGGGAGGGTGCAAATCAACAGTTTGAGCGTGGGGAATTTCAAATCGAAAGTTTAAAGGGGTGGGGTGGAAATTGAAATTTTGAGGAGAGGGGGTGCAAATTGTAAGTTTGAGGGGGGGGGGGGAGGGGAGGCAAATTGAAAGTTTTTCCCCGGACGCCGGAAAGGGTCGCTAC